TTCTCGAGTTCGTTGGAAGCAATCAGCAACTATATCATTGTCCCAGAATTCGCTATACTGCCAACCTTCAAAGTAGTCCAGCAGCTGAAAAGCTTACCAGATTTCTTGATGTTTCCGATGTTCCTGGCGTTGATACCCCAAGATCATTTCACCTCTGCATCGCCAGAAGTTCCTGACAGGGAGATCATCCGTACTATGAATCTCTTTATAGCTTTTGCAAACGAGGCACGGAATCGAAGTCAATCATCTTCCGACGCTCTCAAGTATGCATCTCAAAACTGGGTTGTTCACCTGTCGCGTGCTCCAAAACCATGGGACGACACTCTCAATCATATATTCCGGGTTTTCTGGAAGCGTCACCTCCTTTCTTGGCTCGAACGGCAGTGGTGTTTGAAGGGGCTGCGGTCTTGTCTTGATATTTTATCCAAGGGGGAGAAACTTGCAAAGGTTATTCCCTTGCTTCAGGTTTGACTTTTTTTCATTTTGTGAACCTCTCTCAATTCTCTCTCATCCACAGTTTGAACCTTCAACGCACAGCCTAATGAACGGTTGTCAGCCATCGGTCCCAATTCCTGGCACTCAACAACGGAAGCTTCGGCCACCCTTCTCCTCTCCGAGGCCCAACACCACTGTACTCCATGTTGGCACATCTAGAAAGCGAACTTCGGTCAATAGCAACAGTGCACTCGAATCGGACACCTCTAATAACCCATCAAAACGTCGGAAATGAATCAAACAGTGTTTGCTACGCAAGACTGGCAGGAGCACCAGTAGGATGCTGGATCACATTTAGTTGATCGCTTGTTATTGAAGATGTTGTCTCTAAGCATCTGCCAGTGTGACAGTGTCATGATGTACTTAGTCTGTGACTGTAGTCAAGTATATTTGTATTTACTTTTCGTTGCATTTTGTATCAATCCACAGTAAGTATCAGGGTTTAGTTTCATACCAGCAGTACAGCCTCTGCAGTGTCTGGAGGCTTATTACAAACTCTCTATGACACATGAATATGATTTTGTTGTGATGACAGGTGAGTGCACAGGGAGAGAAGAGCTAAACACTGTGGGAAGTAAATACCCTGAAAGTAAGTGTGAGAAACACTGAATGACAAATCCCAGTGTTGTAGACACTGGAAAAAAACCTGTTATTTTCAGTGTTCACATCCGTCAGTGCTTAAAACACTGACTGATTTTTCAATGTTCACTTGGTCAGTGCTGTCAGTGATTAAAACACTGACTGATTTTTCAGTGTTCACTTGGCCAGTGTTGTCAGTACTTAAAACACTGAATTACTTGATGAAATTATTCTATAAGGTATTGCCTTCGTCTTTTTTTTTCTAAGTCCGCGCGAGTTACATATATACTACGTCTCACCATAATTTCTAAAGGCCTTATGGCTTAACGGGTCGCATGTCGGCCGGAATTCTCTGTGGTGTTTCCTGTGCTTTGCAGATTGTGAGTTCAACCCCACTTAATTGTATTTTTTGATTTGTGAATTTATTTGCGAAACAATACCATTAATGTCAGTGTTTTTGACACTGAAAAATGTCACTTTCAGGGCTCTAGACACTGAATTCTGGCATAGCTTAACTTTTTGTTCTGACTATGACTGCGGTCATAATGCACAAAACCCTGAAAGTCAGTATTTTGAACATTGACTTTCAGGATTCTATACACTGACCTTCAGTGTTTTTACTTCCCACAGTGTAAAATGAAATATATATTGTGTACATAATAGCATTGTATAGTAGAGAACAGACTGAGATGTTAGGATGACCAAGTTGTTGCAGGGATCACACTTACTGTGGTCCTGTGGACAAGAGGTGAGCGAAACCTTAATTCCCAACATGGGGCTCGTCGTTATATAATCTACAAAACCTTAATATACAGCCACTTGAAGTTTCGAGAGCAGTGTTCTGAGTTCCTCAACAGCGGTCTAGGATCTCAATAAATTCTTTAACTGAACACTGTAAGGCCCCCATTTTTGCTACTTAAGAACACATATAGATAGTCAGATCGATGAGATCAAAGCGTGCAATGATGCTACTAGCCAAATCAATGTTTCTGGTTGTAAAAATTGAGAACATGTGACCAATATAATGTGACACATCAATATTGATATGATGCGCCTCATACATGTATTGACGTGCCTCATCTCTTGTTGGAGTCCGAGTCATCTGAAGGAATAAGGAACTGAAGGACTAGGTACGAGTGCAGATGACATTGGCCGAGCCTTGTCCCGATACTTTTGGTTTCACTATTATATCCTTACCCTATTCTACCCATCTGATAAAATAATGTGCACCCCCATAGAAACATCTCAGTCCTTCTCTTCGAGACTGAGATGTGAGTACCAGAATCATTCATTTACATCCTACGAGCTAACAAGTACTTTAGAATTTATCTACTAGGTACTTACCCAAAACTGTAGAGTCCTTCTCTTCGAGACTGAGATAATTTATCTACTAGCTCCTTTCTCCATTTGCTCCCTGCCTCTCATCGTGAAATCTCTCTCCCTCACACCATCAGTAATGACTCGTTCATTTTTGCATACTCTCATTCATCATGTATTCTATGTTGCATGCACACACTCAGTCCGATTTCTCAGCATGTTACGAAAACTCGGCTCCCATCAGAAATGAGGCGCATATAGCCACCTCGCATCAAATAATGGTCTTCATCGGATCAGACACCAATACAAATTCATCGGCATCTGGGCATTCTAATAGCCCAGACATAGACTTCAACATACGATTATCAGAAGATACCACAGCATACTCGCAAGATTTCCCTAACTTATCACCTCCTTCTCAAGGTCCCAGCTCATACTAGGCAGATTCAGACTCACAGGGCTCATCTTCTCTCTCGGTCCCTGATTCTGAGATTAATATCGAGGAACAACTATTAATAAACACGCCGGACTCACTCTACAACGTGTACATGGCTAAGGTACTACCGGTGTCATGCATGGTATGTGACTCATACCATGACATATACATAGCAGGAGTAATAAGGAAGGTATAATACACCAGACTGTATCTTATCACCAAGTTACCCCATCATTTTTCCTTAGTTATTAGCTAGTATTTTCACTTTCAAAACTTCACTTCCATTTTTTCCATGTATTTCTATTTTGTTCCATGAGATTCTATCTGTTTCCATTTTTCTAGGCATATTTATCCATCAGACTTCCTCTCCAGCCACAAAGCATGTTTGTAAGCTTGTCATGTGACTGGTTAATAATCTGATTTGTAAGGATTCAACTTGACTCATCATGTTTTTGTCATGATTTGTCATGCTTTGTAAGACTTGCAAGTGTATTTATAAGCTACTTAGTAAGAAGGCTGATTCAGCTCACTCAAAAGATTGGTTTGTAAGCATGTTCTTACCAATCCTTGGGATGACTCATGTCTTTTATTCATCTTTCTTTGTAATATTACATTGTATTAATAAGCTAGTTAGTAAACAAGCTGACTCAACACACCAAAAGGATTGATTTGTAAGAATGTTCTTACCAATCCATGTGCTGAATCATGCTTAGTAAGATGGCCTCCAAAAAGGTATAAAGGAGCCCATTTTGCCACTGTCAATCTAGACTTCCCACTTTAAAAACCCTGTTCTCAAATCAAGTGAGATTACCTAAGAAATAAAGTGCAGGCAAAACTAGTGCCTTGAAGTAAGACTAAGAAACATCTATCTGAGTTATATACTACCTTACAGGGGTTGACTATATAACAAACTAACCCACTAAACTTAAACTAAACTTCACACATACAAATAACCTCTCTCTTTCGTAGGAAGGGAGAATCAAACTAAGAGAACTACTTCACATTGAGGCAAACTTTCATAGGGTGAAATAAACCTATTTAATTGACAAAAGACCTCAAAGCAAACCTACAGAGAGAAAGCAAGAAGGGGACATTTTTAAGTAAACCCTCCCAAGAACTCACACGTTATCTACCACGAAAACTAGAAAAGTCGTAGACCGTGTACTTAAGGACTGGCAAGAAGTCTTATCCTATATAGTTGTGCTGTCACTATATATGTGTTGTATATAAGACCCTTAAGTAAGAGGACACCGGTAACCATTGGTTCCCAACAACGATGGAGGCTGCTCTGCCCTGACTGCCATGAATGGGTCCAAACGAGTGTATCATCCCAACTTCCTCTCTGGTATCCTGGGCAGTTCAGCTCGTTGAGCAGCCATCGAGGCAGCCGTAAGTGCATCAAGGCATCAACCAACAAAAACAAACCTGTACTTAATTGGACCATGTCTGATGCGCCTTTGTCTCATTCCCTGAGTCTTACGTCTGATCACAAGTATGTTTCATTTCGGCTTTAATACGTACTTACATCATATGCCTGCAGACCTCGTCATGCTCTCTCACCTGCACCTGCTTTTAATAGCATCTGCACTGGAGTTCCCATCATCTGGCCAGAGGACCTCCACCCTTTCATTATGCTCTTTCCTTGGGAGCGCTATCACAATGGCCCAGACACCCTACCCTTCTTCATAGACACTCGAAATCCCAGCGCTCTTCGCCTCCAGTCTAAGCGCTGCTTGTCATATGGTAGTCCCTGTGATGAATGCACTGAGATCCCTCTTCACATTGAACGTCTGGCAGACATTGCACGCACTCCAAAAGCGCACACTAACTACAAGTTTTTAGGTCTTGCACATGTGCAGGACGTTGCAAGGACTTACGCAGAACAAATCAAGCAGTTGAAGCTGCAGGTACATCCGCTTTATGTTTTTTTCGTGTACATACTAACTCTGATTAGCAGCTAAATGATTCACGCAAGTATATGAGTGCGCTCACACAGCTCGACGACTATAATTGTCTCCTCATGGCTGTATCCGAATGAGACATACCTTTCCTTCAACAGATCATCAATGTCGCTCTATGTAATGGTGCCAGCATTCGTCAGGTGGTCAACAAGCTTGAGGATGCCCTTGAGGGAGTGTATCACCCTCGAGGCTATGATGCGAACAACCTGGATATCGCTATGCTCGTATATAAGCTCGGTGGCCATCAGCTCCTCTTTGCACTGAACCAGAAACTCGCCATTCCTTCCCTCCGCACTCTACGCACCCGATCCACCTTCACTGTTCTCACTCCCACTATCAGCCCCATACATAACGAACACTTCGATCAAAATATCCATGCCATAGTTCTTAGCAATTGCACCAGCTCTGCGTCTTTATGCAGTGTTAGTCTCATGATAGATGAAATCGCCCTGGAAGAAATGGCTGTTCATTTCAGCAAATACAACAAGGTTGGCGGTCTATGTTGGAAACACTCACACCTCGTCGATCCAGTTCTTCAGACGTACAAATCTGCCATGAACATTGCACAGAAGATTCACGATGGGGAGGTCCATCTAGGCAAGGAACTTACAGTCATTGGAGCATCATGTTTTGGCCGGGACGAAATCTTCCCTATATTGGTGGCTCCCACTTGCAAAACAGAGAACACTTATGACACAGAGCAGAACCTTTCCCGAGCAATTGCTAGATGGAACGCAACTGGCGCAGCAGCACAGATCGGACCAGTCTGGTCACTCGCAACTGACAGTGATGCAACTCGATGTGCTGCCGGTCATAAGCTTTTCGTCAAGACTCTGTTACACCAAGACTCACCCTTGTTCGGTACTCTCATCAACATGCTGGGATTGAGTTCTCAAAACTTCAGCACACAACCATCGCCGACTTGTTTTCTACTGACATTGAGACTCATGCAGACCTCCAATCCATCACTCTCCTCAGTGCTCTGCTTGAGTCCATCATTTTACCTTTCACCGATGTAGAGACTCGCGTTTCTGTGGGCTCATATGGGTTCATTTTACGAATTCTGACAACTGGCCTTCATGGCACAACTCACACTATCATCCACTATGACTTCCCTATAGAGTGCACCACTTCCCGCGAAACGTGCCATAGGCGCGACACTTTCCCGCACAATGCACAGCATTCCTGCGTGCGCGCCTTGCGCGCTTTCTTGCGCTTAAGCGCACTATGTCGCACAGCATCCAGGAGCATCCATCCATCGTCCAACCAGTCCCTCAGTATGTCCCTTTTCGTTATCTGACCATATTTAGCATATTACACTTCCCATTTCATTATGCACCCTTAACTTTACATCACCTTACCTCATTTACATACTTAGAGCGCTCCCTATTCGGCTCCGAGCCCTGGGAGAGTGCTTAGGTAGAACTTACATACTCTCATGTTCGTTTTACACCCAACTATTCCACCTTAGCTTCCTACCACCAGCTTCCTACCACTCAGTATCTATCACCAGTTAGTTCCATGCAATGCATGTATCCATCATCATTTTGAGGCCCTAGCATCAGTCTATAGCTAGTGGCACTATCAGTATCCGTCTAGATCCGCACTTTTCCCCTTATCAGTCTCAGTATCCGCCATCTACACTTGTGCACCACTTGCACTACCTTCCTGCTGAGGTGATCTCAACCTGGCTGGGCTGATATGAAATATCTAAAAATGCTCAACCAGTATAAGTGAGTCTTGGCTCTGCCTAGCTGCTATACTCGCAGAATGCAAGAACGTTCGACCCTAAAGGGGACTGCTACTGAACACAGAACCAGATGAAAGAAAGACCCTTGAAGTGCGATGGATGCGCGAAAAGCGCAAGAAGAAAAGCGAAGTGAGCGCGAAGCGCGAGAGAGTGCACTAAGGTAAGCGCGAGCGTGGGAACATGAGCGCTAAGGCACGCGTTGTGCGGAAAATACCGGATAAGGAAACGGATAAGGAAGCGGATGTGCAAAGCGAGTGCAAACGCAGAGCGAGTGTTATAACGAGCGCGGATAAAGGTCTAGTATAGGCGGATAATGATAACCATTGGAAACACAAAGTGCGCCCAAGTGGTGACTACTACTTTAAAGTAAAACCCAATAGTGAGGGAAGTACAGCAAAGGGGAGTAATAATGATGGTGTAGTAAGTCAGCAACTTTATACTATGGAAATCGCATCGGAAGCGAAAGGGATAGGAGCAATAAGTGCTATGAATACGTAATGACATGTAATAACGCTGCAATGCTTGTTACAAACCACGAGGCAAGGCATATGACGTACCAATGAGGTGGATGGACATAGAGGGACGTTCCTGGATGATAGGCAATGCAGGGCAATGCAGGGCGCTTAAGTGCAATAAAGCGCGCAAGGTGCGCGTGTGGGAATGCTGCGCGTTGTGCGGGAAAGTACCGCGCCTATGGCGCGTTTCGCGGGAAAGCTGCGCGTTATGTGTAAAATGACTAGGGACATGATATAAGTCGAATATAGCTGATGGTGCAAGTCGTGCATTGCAGGCCAATTGTCATGAGTTGTGAAAAGGTGCGAAATGTGCCCATATGTGCCTGCAGAAATGCGAGTCTCTACACCGCGCTTCACGCACTTTCGCACTTCGCTTTCCTGCGCACACCTTCAGCGCGTTTCTCGCGCTTTCACCGCCATTCACTAGGGTTGTTCAGCATCATTCTGTGGATCCTTGCTTTCCTTGCTCCCCCTTTAGGGTCAAACGTTCTTGTATTCTGCGAGTATAGCAGCTAGGCAGAGCTGAGACTCACTTATACTGGCTGAGCACTTTTCTTATATGTGCCTGCCAGGTTGTGATACCCACACCGACATCTCTCTCTCACTATCAGAACAAGTCACATTGCTCAGTCATTATTCCCATCTTGCTTTTGCTTTTTCCATGCCCATCAACACTCTTTCATGTCATATCAACTGTATTATGACACTCAGACCATGACAAAGAACTCTATGTTCTGCATCACCAAGCAACAAGATCTGAATTCACATGCTCCCTTTTTCCTTGGCGATGTCGGGGATGATCCCCTCAAGATACTTTTCGGTCGCACACGCATGATTGGGGGCCATAACTCTGCATCTTCGTACGCCCAGGCCCTCGATCGTTTAGGCACTGCAAAGGATATCAATGGTGTCTTCAGGCATCATCCAGAACTTGATCCAGGCCACTGGCGCCTTAAATTAATGTGTCAGGAAGGTGTTGATTATATTAACCATGATGTTTGGAAGGGCGATATCATCTCTTGTCAATGCGATCTGCCCTTGGCATGGCGCAATGGTCGTGACACTGCCCTTGCCATCCTAGCAACTTCACAGCTTGATTCAGCCCATTACTCATTTGCAGAACACTTTAGCACGCCCGGGATCGATATGCTGTGTCCATTTGGAGATAACAAGTACTTAGGGATTGCTCTGGATGAGCTTCAGGATGCCAGTGATGTACCCGAGCTCCCTCCTGCTATTGCAGTTGTCCCCCCTTTGCAATGCCTGGAAACAGTGTTGTCATGTGAGGATGGAGATGAGATTCACAACGTTAATGCAGAGTTGGAGGGGGAGGAGGATGAGGAGGACGAGGAGCTCATGTTAACCTTCCAGGAGGCTCTGATTGATGAGTCAACTGATGCCACTCCTTCTACTCAACCTTCTAGCAAGTTCTCAATGAATCCGTCATCCCCTCCATTGCCGCAAGGGTTTGGTATTCGCCCAGACAACTACCTGCTGTATAGTGGTCGTTGGATCCATAAACAGACCATCTGCCGATTAGTGATCAACAAGGACTTTGTCTCAAAGTTGCTCAATCAACTAGAACGTGTCCGCTCAGGCTTCACAAAAGTCAACAAATGTATTGACATGTCTGCGGGGCCAATCACCGACCGTAATTTATTCCTCATTGGCAATATCTTCCTCACTATCCTTCGCAGTAATCACACACTTTCTATCGGAGTCCTTCGGTCAACAGCAGTGATGCTGAACGGTGTGTCTCACACATCTATTAACATCACTGTCATGAAAGCCTTGCATACCACTGCAAAGATCACCGGACAACTCCTCACCATTATTCCGACTGATTCTGCTACACCTGATGTTGCGCAGTATTGCTTATGGGACGGTGGATATGTCACTGCCCACTCAGTGATTCCAGGGACCTCCAACTCGACAGAGCGTGTCGTCATTGTGACTGTTCCAGGCACTCTTATTGAACCTGTTAACCCTGAGATGACATTCATTCGTCTATGCGACGACATTAATATGGATGCATTCTCACAAGTCAGTGGTGGGCAAAGTACCTGGCAAGTCTCTTGTGACGTGCTCCAAGCAGCATGTGATCTACTGTGGGCAAAAGCAGTCGAACTAAAGGTATTAGTTAAGTCAATTGCATCTGTCACTCCAGTTGATGTCAAATCATTCCCTTATCAATTTCCAGATGGTAAGTGTCTCGTTTCTCTCACCATGTGTTCCATCTATTAACAATGATGTATTTTAGGAACTCCAGCAGTCATTTTTATTGAGGCCAGCAGCCAACTCACAGCATCCGAAGGCGAGCACATTACAATGTGTCCACTTTGCGACGCCAAGGTCCTCGACATGCGGGATCACATAGGCCGCCATATATTACACGCAATGACCAACACTCCTGAGGAGCCGCCTTTGAAGCAAGACATGAGTTTTTTTCTAAATCTATTATCTTACTTTACTAACTCGTTGTGACCAGGTTGATCTTACATGCCCATGTGGCTTCTGCGGTCGTTCTGGAGTGCCTGAGTGCACCATCAGAATCACAGTACCAAGCAGTGGGGCGCCCACCTGGGAAACAAGATGCATATACCAGCACTCATTCAGGTATGGGTCCATCGATTCAGGATCGAAGAACAAGCCCTGTCGCAACCTACCCCTCAAATGCGAACTTTGTCACCCTGTACTCCCTCCCCAGCCCGGAAAGAGCACCCGAAAGGTTCCCATGCTCCCTGTCGAAGCCGTATGGCACTACAACATGACGGCGCATATCTTGGGCCAGCACAAGGAATTCGCCATACCTGGACATAGAGAGGTGGGGGTCCCATTGCCAGTAAGCGTTTGGAGGGTGATGAAACTTACAGATCTTGAGCAGGGCGCTTCGCGCATCCCGAAGGATCGCTGGCAGCCCTCATATGGAAATTTGTCTGAGCAGGACAAGGAGAATGTACCTGTAGCATCAGGATCTCGTCCTAAACGTCCTGCCCTTGAGTCCGCTGGGTCTCTCCCCTGGGCCTCCAAACAAACACATACATCCCTCCAGCTTGGTTCGTTGGTTGTTTAGCTGTCTTGCTGCTTCTTAGTTATCGCTGTACGCTCATGTATGACTCACTTTCAATCGATGTTGTTGCTCTCAGACCTCATTTGTGTGATTGAAATAGTTACTATAATATGGCTAAATTACAGTGACTGTAACGCTGTCAGGGTGGGGGGGCCGTCCGAAGTTACGCCAGGTGTATGTCATAAATTCTTATTTCCCTCACCTCTTGCTTGTGGAGGCAACTTAATTCTACGGCCTCAGCCTGCTTAGAAAGCCAGCCTGGGCGGGCCATATACGGTAGGACCGTCACGTAATTTGCGAACCTCGTCCCGTTTTGGCGTTTCGGATTCCCCCGCTTACCCCGCTTTCGCCTTCGTATTCAACCATGATGCCACTACTCAAATCGTACAATTCTGAGCGTCTATTCCTAATATCTCTATCTGATGATCTACTGACGAGTCTGAGCATACCAGTCTCGATTGTTGAACCAACTGCTTTCAAGCTAAAAAACCTGTCTCTCTCCATGCAGCTACCCACTTCCCCACCAGTCCAACATCAGCAATAGGTGCGCTCCTGAGACTCTTACTTGCTTTCTCAGTTTCTACCGTCAATAATGGGTACCGCGTAGTCAGTTCCTCTTGCCCGTACTTGTTCTCAAAAAAGGTCAACAGCTTCCGGCTTGGGTTGTTCACTTCATCGATAGGGCTAGCACGCAAAGCCTTCATCCATTCGTGCCTCGGGAGCGCTTTAAATTTCAGGCCGGAATGCTGGAGAGACGAAAGGATGGACGTCCACTGCACAAACTTTGGATGAATCACATTCCAGACTGGGCACTCTCCCAATGGCAAATGTTGAGGGGGAATATTGACCAGATCGAGGATAACCTTCGCTGCGTAGTCCACTGGGAGCCACGAGACTGACTCTTCAAGGTTGGGAAGAATTCCGATTGTGTCTGCGCACTGCCACGGAATATGACAATCAGATATATCATCGATAACGAGATTTCATACCTTGATGATGAGTGAAATAGCTTCTGTCTCGTTCCACACGCCATTCTGAGAGTCTCCCACCATTTGGCCAATTCCTGCATGCACTTCAATGACTATTCCCCCGCGGTGAAAGAAGATATCTCACGTAGCACGCCCGCCCGAATAGGTGTCTGCTGAGAGGCAACTTGACAGAGCTTCTCAGTGATCCACTTCGATTGTGCACTAACGAAAGTCAGAAAATCTGAGTGTCAACTGCGCGAGGCACGAGCTCACTAGCCCAACCCCTGAGCGACAGAGGGATCGTCCGTGATGGCTTCTGGAATCGAGTCTGGTCCACGCCAAGCGCCGACAGCACTGATTGAAGATGCGAAGTAAAAGTCCGCTGGTCGTGGATGAGGCGATGCAAGGGCGAGATTAATTAAATTGACAGCTCCACGGATGTGTGGTTCGAAGCTATTGCTCTGTCAGTTGGTTTTCATCGAATCGAGGTGGACTTGCCTGGAAATACCAAGGTTGAAGTTAACCGCCCAAGCATTCTGCACACGAGATTAATGAGAATGAACTAAGTAGTATTTTCGATGCTTACGTGGATAATCAGTGTTGCCCGTGTTGCGATCTCATTGTACATGTTTGACTGAAGTCCAAGCATGTCGGTAGACAGGTCGCAAGCGAGAGCTTTGACACGCAATTGAAACTTCTCATTGTGAGATGATAGCTTCCTTGTCTTCATGGAAGCTGTTATGCGACTGGACGCATCTGCATCGTCCTTTGCTCTGCACAGACAGTAAACAGTGGCCACAGAAGGGTCCGAAAGTAGTTCATCCAGAATATATGCTCCCAGAGACCCAGTCGCACCAGTCAACACAACCTACATCAATATCGCAATCAGAAGTAGGACTTTGGAAAGTACAACAGTGGACTCACAACGCGAGGCGTGACTGAGATACTTGCAGCTCCATTTGTTCCATTGACATGAGCCTTGTGTGTATAAGTGAAAGAGCTGTACTTCTTAACAAGTTCCAGCATGATCTCGAGCGAGCTTCGTCGCGCCAGAGTACCTTCATTGCCAGAGGACGTTGCAACTAGGAGTCGGGCAATCCTATATGTTCACTTCAGCCAAGACTGCATACAGGTATGACACGAAGGGATGAACGTACTGCGTGATAGAAGGATGTTCGAAAACGACGTTTGGAGACAGCTTCTTGCCACCTAGGTAGATCTCCTGCGCCGTTATTCAGCTTACAAGCAGTAACCAACGGAACGTTTGAGCTAACTCTCTTAATGGTGTTTCGTATTCTGCTAGACTGCAACGAGTCCAGCCCGAAATCGAACAGGTCGGTGTCATCTTCTAAGTTGTCGATCGGTCTATCGACCGTCTTGCTGATTATATCTCTGATGGCTGTTCTCGCCTCCGCCTCATCGGTCAGTCGTCTCTTCCCGTCCTCGTCAATGTCACCCTCTAGTCGTTTATAGACCTCGTTGATGACGCCTTCAAATTCCTTGTACACCCGGGGTCTCACAATGCTGCCCTTATCAGCACGGGGAATCACCGTGCCGTAAGGGAGAAACTCGATGGCTTCCGACACAAGCTGTGAGTGCGAGGGGGCCTCGGCATTGGCGAGGGCGACGATAGGCGCCACAAGCTTAGCGAGCTCCGAAGGAGAGCAGTCTTTTACGATTTTGGATGGAAGAATCAGAGCTCCAATTTGAATGCGGCCGGCGCCGAAGATGATGGCATCCGCAATGTAGGGCGACGAGCGAAGTGTGAGTTCCATAGGGACAGGATTCGTCTTCTCGCCATTAACCTGGGCATGTTATTGAATAAACATTATCTTGAACTGGTTCAACACACACACCATGACCAAGGTGTCGTCGATTCTCCCGATGAACTTGTATGTATCTGGGATGGTGGGATGCTTGATAAATAGATCTTTTGTTGCGTATGACCCATCGGGTTGGTTGGTCAGAACCTTCGTCGGTAATTGAGATAACGTATCCAATGGTTAATAAATACTTGCCTTCATGGGCCAGCCATCTAAAACGAACAGTTCATAGGTATCCCCGCCCCGAGGTTCGAATCGCAGGTAGTCGATCACATTCGTGTTTACATGCGGCCCCTTAGCACGCGTCCAATTCCAGCCCTTGTCAGTCTCAAAGTCCCGGAGAGACGTCATGAGTTGACCCATTTCAGCTGCATTGAAAAGAGGCATGCTGGATGTCAAGTTTCTCTCGACCTGTCAACATATCACTCACTAAGACCATAATGGCCAACCAAGCGGACGCCCTCGTTGACAAGGAAGTCACCGAGCTTGTCAGGACATGCGCTACCGCCGAACAAGACAAGCTTGAGACTCTTCAGGATCTGCAGACCTTCAGTGGTCTCAGCGAGGAGTTTTAATGCTAGAGGAACGCCAGATAGTAACTCCACGTCCGGAGCTTGCTTGAGAAGCCTGATAACGTTGGCGGATGTCAATGGTATTGATCCAGTTGGGAAGAGGTACAGTGGTTTTGTAGAATAGATTGCACGATGAAGAATGCAGTGACCGTGTGCCTGTTCAAGGCAAAATGAATAGATTCTGGTAAGGCATACGAGCAACATACATGATACAACGGCAAGGTCGTTAAAGTCGTGAGACCGAAATTCACGCAGTTGCTGATAGCCACTCTGTTGGTTACAGTAATTGGCTTTGGGAAACCAGTGGAGCCACTCGAGTGGATGGTCGTAACTGGAAGAAGAGATTCATCCTCCCACTTTAATACAGGATCCCATCGCGTCTTCTCTGGGTACGAACAACGAGCGGCTGGGCCGAAGACGTCAGGTGAAGGCTGGTTGATGATCGTCACAGCACCGGGGTTGCTGAGATGGGTAAGAGCTGCTGTTGCGGAAGGTAGTAGCAGGTCTTGCACTATTATGTGGGTTGCATTTGTCACGGTCAAGAGGTGGGCAATCGCAGAAGGAGAGTTATTCGGCGACAAGAAGAGTACACCTGTAGAAAGATTGGCAAAGTCAGAGCCAGACTGCTGTGTTATGCACTAACAGTAGCCCATTCGATAAAGCGTCAACTCGGTCACTACATAACTTATGTTGCTAACGCCTAGGATTCCAACTGTCATCCTACTGGTGGTATCCCCTTTGGAACGTCCATTGAGTAGTCCGTTATCCCGTAGGTGGTGGGCCAACAAGGACGCTGACGCATCGAGGTCAGCCAGAGTATACTTGATGCACTTTGTGGCTGCTGTCAATTTCACCCACAGAATTTAAGCAACATGTCGTACTTACATTGAAGTCCTTGTCTGGTATGCCCAAGATTTCAAGGTTTGGGTGATTGCGAGCACGTTCGGCTATAAGGTGGTTGAGCGAGTATATCGTGGACATGGTACTTAGGTCGTTCAATCACTGATCTTGAAGGGTATCTGAAGCGTACTAGTATCCCCATTGGCAACTTCGGGCCTGTTTTAAAGGACTCGGTAGTCACTGCTCAGTTAAGCAGTATACCCGACTCCCACGAAGAGGATTTTGTCAGATCGAAATCCTCAGGCACCTATACCGAGTGACCAGTCCCTTGTTCCTACTGTACCTCCGTGTATCATAGGAGGCAACTGTAGATTGCGTGCCACCGAGCTGCAAAGTTAGTAACCTTGACCATCTAATTGGACCATGACTCGGACATCTGAACAAGATAAAACCAGCAGCGCCATTGGATGCTTGTCATATGTCGGAGTGCCAGTGGCGTAACTCTGATAATAAGTCGGAGTGGCGTAACTGATAGACTAGCTCAAACTCGGGTTGAAACTTCGGCGGGCGAAACTCCGACGCATCAATACCGTGACTGTGGGTTTGATATCGCTGCTGCAGATTTCGTGTTCGTGACATAGAAGTACAGTACTCGTCCGAAAATTATCGGTTTCCAGAAGTTGTGTCACTTTCAAGGTACGAGCATTACTCCTTCAAGCCCATGCAAGACCCCGAAGAGCCCATCTTCATTAGTTCCAAGAGTTATTCTTTCGCTGACGTCGCGTCTCTTGCCTCCTAACAGTACTGCGGCTCGCTGCACCTTTATAATCAAGCATAGTCCAAGGGAAGATGAGAGAGAAATGAGCTAGCACAAATCTATGACAAGTGCAAAGGTATTTTCGAGGGAGATGCGGTCGGAGAGAGATGCGGATGGTCAGTTGTGGATGAATATTACATCCGGAGACATAAAATGAGACGAAGCAGGAAGGCAGGGATCTGCACTGGGCAGGGCGCGTGGATCCCGCAATATCCGAAAGAAGCAGCTTGTGCTCGGAGGGATTTGGGATCGACAACGACAACGACAAAAGGGCCTTTAGAGCGTGTTGAGTCCGAAAAGTGCGCAGACCGAAGGGTCCGAAAGGAAACGCTAGAATCCAGACTAGATGTAGCAGAAAAGGACGTGCGTGCGTGCGAAAAAACGGGAGAGCGACAGGCAAAAGGAGATGCCAGGCGTGGCAGAGGAAGAGAATGTTAATGAGGCCCCGATAATCCGATTCGACTCAAGTCGAGTCGTTTTTTGACTGGGGCGAACTCGTCCGATGTGTGCTTCAATAGAAGAGAAGCACGCGTGTGCTTACATTTAAAAGACATGTTTCTTGTGTCAACGTTTCAAGACTTCAACCTTGTAACTCGCAAGTTCGCGATCCGCTTGAAACGACCACCTGGACCAGGTCATAACCTTTGCGAGTCACATGGTCGTCGCGCATTGACCACAAAGCAACTGCAAAGACGCTAGTACTACCTACTAGTAGTACTTATCGATCATCAATCAGGCAGTCGGATGCAGGCGCCGATGAAGGAACGTCGTGTATATGTCGCAGTGCACGGAGGAGCAGGATATCATGGAGTTCTGTCAGAACAAAGTGTCAAGAGTGCTTTGAAACGGTAATGTCAGAAAACTCCTCGATATCATGTCAAACTCATCCGAGTCGTAATTACACTAGTGCTTGTGCTCGAGCTTTGCGGGGAGCACCACTAGACGACTCCTCTGCCCTTTCGGTTGTAGAGCGAGCCATAGCCGTTCTTGAGGATGATGAACACCTCAACGCAGGTACGAGTTCTCGTGGTTTTCACTTGCACATCACAATAACGTTCACTGTCTGATCTTCTTCAACCTTTTATCAGGTTATGGTTCCAATCTGACCATTGACGGCACTGTAGAATGCGATGCGGCTGTCATGGACGGCTTGTCAGGAGATTTTGGCAGCGTTGGTGCTGTTCCAGGTTTGGCGATCTCTACGACAACTTATCTTACTGGCTGACCTTGGAAAGGCAGGACTAAAAAATCCAATAAAACTGGCATCGACATTGTTGAGGCACTCCAGAGAACCCGACCCTCTTGGGCGCATCCGCCCCATGTGAGTGAAGGTGCCCCTTTCATGGAACGGGAGTACTGAGTCCTTGCGAGGACTCTTGTCGCATCCGGAGCATGCTCGTTTGCATCATCGCAAGGTATCCAGACCGTTGCTTCAAATGAAATGATATCGCCGCGAGCGACACAGGAGTGGCAGAAATGGAAATCGCGACTGGATCACCCTGTTGATGGTGACCCAGGAAACTTACCTCAAGATGCCATGCAGGACACGGTTGGCGCGGTGGCCTGGGATAACGAAGGCAATCTCGCTGCTGGTGTTTCAAGGTATGTCCTCAGACACGCTTCTAACAATTGAAGAGTCACAAATGGTACCTAGTGGTGGACTACTTTTAAAGTACTCTGGTCGTATCGGTGAAGTAAGTCTACAGGTAATATGACACGATGTGATGGTCGAGACTAAACTGGACAGGCAGCTACATTTGGAGCCGGGTGCTGGGCACAGCAGTCGCGCAGTGAGCGTTCTGGGATGGCATGTAGTATATCTGGAGCAGGGGAGCACATAATGCGAGGCGGGCTGGCCCGTGTGCTGGGCGAAGCCTTGCAGTCCCAGCAATCAGATGATAGCGAGCTTGATACACATCACATATTGCTTCGAATATTAAACCAGCAATTTACTGGTAAGCTTGCGAACTGCAGGTATTCATTTTACTCAACAAATCATGGTCGTTATAGAACCAATGCGTCAACGAGGGGAGCAGATGCCAAATGCAGGGATTTTACTGTTGACAAAAGAACAAGGCGAAGATGATGAAGCAGTGCGCAAGTCATTTCCATAGCTTCTTATTTGTTCACCAGACATATTTATTGCACAGCGAGGTTATGGTGCGCGTTCACCACAGAAAGCATGGCGGTCGCGTACGCAAGCACCACCATACCCTCACCCAAGGTAATCACAAAGCTAGTGGTGTACAAAAATGATGGGTTGCTGATTATGACAATATGCAGGCATCCATTTTGCGTCGTCCAGTATCGACTGGCTCCGCCGTAGATGCAGACAAATCGTCAGTATTCATAACTGCGCTGCCCATTCATCGGTAGCGTCGTGCAGCCTCCATGCGGAGAGTAATATTGTGTCAACGGACGCGATTATCATCTCGGTACATAACTCTTCACATGGTGCGCCGTGATGTGAGGGTCATCTCCCCATTGTCATCGGAGATTGGACATCCCATTCGGTGGAGTGGAAGTTGGACGAGGCGATGCTGCGTTGTTCAAGTTGGCCAGCGGAAGCCCTATGCGTGAATTTGCAGGAGTGATGGTGGGGCGAGCAGCATTGAGTCGTTTGAGTGTATTAATTGGGAACTTTGTTCTGTGTGTCCGTCAGGATTAAAGTGGGCAGCTGGGGAACGAGGGTAGCTAACCTGCATGTGGAACAAACTGGGAGTGGTTGACAGAAAACTGCAAGATCACAGGCCCCTTAGAATTCAGTGACAAAACAGTAAAGATAATGCGTACTAGATAAACAGACAGAGCACACAAAACCGATGTCTACAATGTTCTTGTGGCAGAAGCACGCAGCGCGGAAGTCAATCTTGTCTTGCTTTGGTACAGCTAGAATCTTGCGGATGGATGTCGGTGACAGGAAAGACATCTGCGACAATGATAGCTGGTGAACAACAGGATATGGCAGGCGATAAAATAAATTTACAATCAGATATTGCAGGAGTGCATCTCTGCGTTCGAGGTAGATGTAGGACCCGTTCGTCAGGTGGGCTGCTTGCTGCAGAAATACGGTATCGGGCCCATAAACCTTGCACACGTCAATTGTCACTTTCTACTCCGTATCGCAGTCAGTCAAATAATATGTTGCTGAAGGGCGTAAGACATACCAGTTTTTGTGCGGAGAAGATAGCGTTCATAATCGGGATGTACGAAGAAGACAAGTCAGGGGAGACTGAAAGTATCAAAATGCGAGGGTCGTGGACGATTGACGGGTCCTCTGCGACACCGGCCGTCGTTGATGAAGGATGGGTGATGCGGTTGATGTCTGTCTATAAGTTAGGTCGCTGCTAGCCACACATTCCCCTTCACGCACAACACAGTGCCTTCGTCACAGCGCCTACCAATGCACATGGAGCTGTGATGCAAATGAGATGACACAAGCAGATCAAATGTCCGTTACTTACGTTCCTCCTCAAGCTCTCCGATAGCATCGAACTCATTTATTATCCTCTGTACGACTGTCGAGTCCACAAGCTTGAAAGGCAGATACGAATTAGCATCCAAAGAGGGCGCGTCGTCTGACAGCAGCTCCGTGGATGAATAGAGCAACACACTGTTCGTCCGCAGTTTATAAACTTCCTACTGCTGAGGATAAATCTCACCTCTTCCCAGGAAGCGCGCCAAAGACTACAAGTGAGTTCTCATGCTTGGACGCGATATGCGCGTTCAGAAATGCGAGGAGCTGCGAGAGGAACGTCTCGATGGAGAGTGGATACTGATTTGAAGTTTGCGCAGAGAGGTGCCATTGCGTTGGAGATAGGTCTACTATCACAGATAAATGGGATGCTTTCTCCATCGCTGAAACTTGAAACAACAGCACTAGTACTTTAGTCCATGTTCTTCAGAGCCTCGATCTCAGCTGCAAACTGGCAGACTCAGAGTTGACTCCGAATAGCTCACGGTGCCGATTATTTCGTTCACGTGACTCAATGCACATCCTATCAGCTGGTCAAATAAAATATTCGTTCATCACCTGCAGTTAATTATCTCAAGTGCATGATATTCGCAATGAATATGATATTTGTCATCCAGTGACAGCGCTGCTGGTTTCCGACTCACCCAGACGTGAAAGGAATTATCGGACCAGTAGTACTGGGTGACTATCTGTGGCATTTAGAATCCTAGATTTTGATCCAAACCTTAAAAGTCGGAGTGTCGTCTCGTACCTCGTCGCAATCGAACACCATCTGAATCTAGAAGGGGGGCCTTACTCCCCCCTTCTAGATATCACTTTATAACTGGGTGTTTTTGACATACAGATTGACGTTTGACGGCGGTACGTCGGCACGAGGACTTGTTTAGATTTAGAACGACGTTCTAAACGCTGCGAAAAGTTATCCACTCATCAATCACTCAGAGTTGATTAATTTTGGCTCAGAAGGCCGCCGCTACGTTGGAGTAGAATGTTATTCCGCTGAAGTGCAAAAATGAATCAAATTAATCTAGAACCGCATACTTCCTTAGGCTGTCTGGTATGGTGTGCCCTAGCCCATTCGATTCTAGCCATTTCTTTGAGAATAAGCGGCTCGGGTACCGGTGAGCGCCATCGCACAATATCGTCACAACTTTAGACTCTAGTGGACAAAATTGAGTTTTGGCTTGGACATTGAAATATAGTTAACCCGCTGTCCTTACCCTTCCCTAAGCTCTGCAGCTGCAACGACATTCAGCGCTGAGGAAGCGCTTATGTACAAACTTTCTGTATCAAGAAGTTGATATGACATGAATATCGCCTCCTCGTCCCATATGATGTGAAGTGCCCCCGTAAGATAATTGACAAAAGTGCCCAAATTACTTGTGCCACGACCCTGACTGATCTCTGTATGAATGTGACAAGGACATGGTGGAGTGTTCAGCTATCACGATCACAACAACACGCAGGGAAGTCTGACCTTCTGTGACGGAACTTAGAGAACGCTCGACGAGATTTCCACCGGAAGTTACGTATTCGTATAAGACGCTTCCAGGTGAATCGACGAGCCATATTTGCGTCCTGCTGTTGCCCTTTCCTTCAGATACTTGCCAACTCCAGCCAGAGTGCCGCCAGTACCGCTTGCACAAGCGAAGTCGTCGATCTCACCCTTCGTCTGTTCCCATATTTCGGGCCCAGTAAAGATATAGTGGGCGTACGAATTCGCGGTGTTTTCGAATTGGTCTATCCATATGGCATTCTCGAGCTTTTCAGCGTACTCCTTCGCCTGGTGATTGTAACTCAATGGGTTCTCGTAGGGAATCAGCGCTGGATAGACCTCGGCCCCGAGCATCCGGAGAAGGTCGATATTCTCTGAGTACCAAAGCATCAGCGACAGTAACCAGATGATTGCACTTACCTAAGTGTTGGGCATGAATATCACACACTCGTAGCCCCTGGCTCTACAAACATGTGCAAGGCCAATACCAGTGTTGCCTGCAGTACCGTCGACAACGGTTCCACCAGGTTTTATTCTGGATACATCCTCAACACTGAATGCTGTCATGAAGCACATTATGCCCACTCAATGACCCTTGTTTTCCACATCCTGAATTATGCTGACAGCAGCACGGCCTTTAACGCTGTCCCCGGGGTTTTGGAATCCGTATATTTTGCATCCTGTCAGCTCTGAAAGTGTTTTGAGATAGATCTAATCGCCGTTAGAGGGGTATTTCACTGTCTTCGCAGATGGATCTCCTTACCAATGGAGTGTTTCCCACAGAACCAGTGAAGCCGTTGACAGCGCTGTTGTTTGTCACAGATTCTCTAGTTTGCTGAACATCAATCCGTTGTGAGCTTGATTCCATCGTGTGATCTAGGGTTAGACCGAGAAAATATGGGGAGTCAGATTAGACAGATGCAGATGGTGGGAAGCGAGCACGACATGTCGACGTCACCACGTCACATTCCTGAAAGTCAGCGGGCTCGCTACGAGGAGTCTGCTGACTCTCGCACACCATCTGTGAACTCAACCAATGGCCGCTTGTACTTACTTTATCTTGTGGGATGATATTCGCGTTCTGGTACCACAAACGCTTGATCATGGTCTCGTGCGAGGGGCACCGATTTGAAATCGACGTTATTGGATCCGTTCTGTGGAGCATGAAGATTTCGGATCTCGTCCAGAGTTTTTGGTCCATATTATTCATGATCCATCATCCAGGGTCATAGAGTTCAACGGACAGTGCCACCATATTCGGGCGAAGGGGGTATGGTAGAATGGAACCGGTGATGATCAAGGCGCTCAAAGAAGGTGATCATGGGGTGGGACAGAAGCGCGGTGCTGAACATGCCACGTCGTTAGAGCGATAACCCCAGCTTTGGGACAATCTAAACGACCTGAAAGAGTATCGTTGCAAAATTAGCGTGGCGCGCAATCATTCTTCGTAACATGGGTGTTAGAGGGTCCTCTGCTTAAAGGGACGAGAAAAAACTCGAAAATTGATGTGTTCATCGTTGGGGTCAGTGAGCAAGCTATATTGGCGACAGCACGTGACCAAAAATTGAATTACAAATAGTTCAGCAACGGTGGCGGACCGCAGCGGACGGCCGTGAAGGACTAAAAAAGGTGTTGCAGATCAGTGCAATCCCATCGAAGGTCGGCCCTGGTGGAACATTCGATGCGATGTTGCCGGATCTAGTAGGAAAGTCGCCAAGGCCTCGTTCTTAATGGGCATTAGGGAAGACCAATGGTTTAGTCACCGCCACGGAACAGTGAGCGGCCGCATGTGTATATTATGTGATGAGCGCCGGTGATGTGGTGAGTGTGACCCAAGATGAGGTATAGGTTCCGCAGCGCGGCGATGAAGGGGCATGCGTAAAAGGCGAGATGATTGTTCATTGGATGGCTTGGCACTGGAATTATATGCTTCGACGAACACACAGGTGCCTGAGAAAGGCATGGTGTGGGGAGTAACGTGTTATACGATTTATTTACTAAAATGACCACGGTCAACAGGTCCTATAGCGATCATGACGTGACGTGGGTGTGCAAGATAAGTATCATTATCATGTTCCATTGGACTCGGCGGCGAGCACTGCAGGCCGAGGAGCGTGGTTTTGGCGGAGATTCGATGGCCATGGGTATTTCTGGTGATCAAGGCAGGGTTTATGATCAGGCGAATCAAGCTGAGAAACTACGATATCCACGCTTGACGCAGGTAGTTGAGCAACATCCTGGACAGGTTAGGCTGACTGCGGTAGATAACAAGGATGTGCTTGATGCGGTTGTTGAGAGCCGTGACCTGGGTGGGATGATGCTGTATTCGATGGGCGTTGCTTATCCGAAGACCGCCAGGTTCAACAACAAGATGAGAATGGCGCATTAATTTAACCATAAACTATTCATAAAAATACTCAAAAATATGTCTAGAATAATAGAACTTTTATATCAAATTACATTCAAAATTAAATTTTTGACAAAATTTATTCCAAAATGTTATGCCCCAACCCGGATTTCACCAATGCCATGAGCGGTGACGATGGGGCCTTGCCCGGCGTTGTCCGTAGCGATGGCCACACGTGTGAACATTTTCGTCAACAAGATCCTTGACGACCTCTTCCCTCCCCTCTCTACCCCCAACCACATCCTCTCCCTTCACTGTCCATCACAGCGTCGACACCATGGCGCTCAATCCCGACGCTCTTAACCTCAATTACGACAGTGATGACTCTATGCAGGTTGATTCTGAAAACGAACAAGTCAACAATCTTCACACTCCTGTCGATAATGCTCAAGACCCAGACGCAGATGCTGATGGCGATGCAGAGGACGTCGATGACACTACCTCTCTCGCTATTGCTGGGCCATCTTCGTATACCCCAAAAGGCTCCGTAAGTCTCATATGTCATATGTTAGTAATTCCAATTTTATTCAAGATCATCTACATTTTTCAAAGGATGTCGAAGAGTCGGTATGTTATCTATCATATCTTTTCCTTCCGAGATCGTTGACCATTGTACCCAAGGGGTACGAAGATAACGTCGAGGAGGACGAGGAGGACGAGGACGATGGCTCCTATGCAGACGACGAATACGGTAAAAAGAAAGCTCCAAAGAAGAGAAAAAAGAAGTCACAGCCGTCATCGTCGGCACCAAGACCTAAAGGTATGTACCCTGTTTCCACAGTGGAGCTCGCGCTTAGCTTTTGTACAGCCATCTCTCGGAACAACGACTCAGATTCAGATTCAGAATATGGTTCCAGATCGAAAAAGAAGAAACGGCCTCGTGTTTCTGGAGACGAAATCCGCGTCTCTAGCCGAGGCGGCAAGATTCCCAATTATACTGATGATGTCCAAGCTCTCGCTGAGCTATCAGAAGAGGACGTCGATCAAGGATACTATGCCGATCCTATCGTGCAGTTCAAAGAGGAAGATGAGATCGAGTCTGTCTTGAGTCATTGCAGAGATGAGGGCCGTGAAGACGATCCTGAAGATATCTGGTTTGATAATGTTGTAAGTCCCAGAATCATTTTGGGCAAGCAGATTGTTGTTGACGTGTCACAAAGCGTTTTCACATCAAGTGGAAAAATTTCTCGCATTTGCACAACACCGATGAGACCTACGAGTTCCTCAAACGCTTCAAGGGCCTCAAGCGTGTCGACAACTATATCAAAGCTTACAAGATGTACCAGTCTCGCCTCAACGCACCAGGCATCTCCCAAGAAGATGCCGAGGCATTACTTCTCGAAAAAGAACGCGAGAAGGAAGAGCTCGAGACCTATAAAGTTGTTGAACGCATCGTCTCGCACCGCGATGGTGCAGATGGCACGACAGAGTACTTCTGCAAATGGACTGGGCTCAATTATGAGCACTGTACATGGGAAACGCAGGAGGAAGTGCGCCCTATCGCCAAGGCCCAAATCGAGGCATATCGGCAACGAGAGGTCGAGGCAAAGTTCCCTTACAAGAGCATTAATTATCCGCGTAACCAGCGGCCGTCATTCCAGAAGATTGAGAAGGACCCCGACTACATCACCTCGACGGGTGGTGAATTGAAGGACTTCCAGGTTACCGGATTGAACTGGCTGGCATATCTATGGAGTAAAGGCGAGAACGGCATCCTTGCTGATGAAATGGGTCTTGGAAAGGTATATTGGTATTTTTTGCCCTTTCAGAATGCTAAAACGTTGTGCGCAGACCGTACAGACAGTGTCTTTTCTGTCCTACCTTTTCCATGACATGCACCAATATGGTCCATTCCTTGTCATCGTTCCGCTTTCTACCATTACTGCTTGGCAATCGCAGTTTGCGGCGTGGGCACCTGATCTGAATGTCATCACCTACATAGGAACCGCCCCTGCTCGTGAGGTCATTCGGACGTACGAATTCGGCCCCTCCAACAAACGACTGAAGATGAATGTACTGCTGACCACGTACGAGCTTACTCTCAGGGACGCAAAGGAACTTGCGGACATCAAATGGCAGGCGCTTGCTGTTGATGAGGTGAGACATAGATGTAGAACGTCTTAAAATAATCACTAATGACTGTTTCAGGCTCATCGGCTCAAGAACTCAGAAAGCCAGTTGTATGAGGCTCTGAGGTCCTTCCCTGCTGCGTCAAAGCTATTGATCACCGGTACGCCACTGCAAAACAATGTCAAGGGTGCGTGTTGCTACAACTAGGCTTGGCGATTTTTGCTGACGCCACACCGCGTGCAGAGTTGCTTTCATTGATGCACTTCCTGATGCCTGAGAAGTGTATGTTTCATGTTGTATTCTTGTCATTGTGCCTATGGCTGATGAGACATTGTTTATAGTCGCTTTGACAAACGAATTCGACCTTAACGACGCGGACCACGAAGCCAAGATCAAGGAACTGCATGAACAACTCGAGTCTCTCATGCTCCGCCGGCTCAAACGTGACGTCCTTACTTCTTTGCCTACGAAGAGTGAGCGCATCCTTCGAGTAGAAATGTCTGCCCTGCAGACGCATTTCTACAAGAACATCCTGACAAAGGTAGGCTTACGTTTGGCTAGTTATCAACTCTCGCTAACCCTCAATTAGAATTTCCAGGGGTTGGTGAAGAGTGCAAATGGGAACAACAACATCAGTCTCCTGAATATTGCGATGGAACTCAAGAAAGCTGCGAACCACCCTTATCTCTTCGACGGTGCCGAAGTGCGCACTGATGTTAGCGATGACACTCTCAAAGGCCTTGTCATGAACAGCGGAAAGATGGTTCTCCTCGACAAGCTCCTTGTACGCCTTCGGCAAGATGGTCATCGCGTGCTCATCTTCAGTCAAATGGTCCGGATGTTAGACATCTTGAGTGATTACATGAGTCTTCGTGGATACCAACATCAACGTCTGGATGGCATGGTCGCATCAGATGCGAGAAAGAGATCAATTGCGCATTTCAACTCACCCGGATCGCCCGACTTTGCTTTCCTGTTGTCAACCCGTGCAGGTGGTCTTGGCATTAATTTGGAGACTGCCGATACTGTCATTATCTTTGACGTACGTGGGTCGTTGTATGACATGGCATGTATGACTGACATCTTTGCAGAGCGACTGGAATCCTCAAAACGATTTGCAAGCCATGGCACGTGCTCATCGCATAGGTCAAAAGTCTCATGTCAGCGTCTACCGTTTCGTTAGCAAGGACACGATGGAAGAGGACGTACTCGAAAGGGCCAAGAAAAAGATGGTATTGGAGTATGCCAGTGAGTAATAATAGCTTGATCCGATTCACATCTGATCTCATTTATATCATGTTAGTCATCAATCAAATGGATACTTCACAGGCGCATCTGAGCTCCAACCCAAAAGGCGAGAAAGTCAAGGATTCCACGAAACCTGACAATCTCAGCAAAGATGAGCTCACCGCAGTCTTGAAATATGGCGCTCAGAAGATGTGAGTGACGATGTTCCCCTGATCCGGCGCTCCGCTCACCCTATTCCCAGGTTCGACAAGGACGACTCGCAACAGAACCAGAAGCTTGACGAGATGGACCTTGACGATATTCTCAACCGTGCCGAGGACCATGAGACAATGGCCGCTGGCGGCGATGGCGGTGCCTCACTTGGTGGTGAAAGCTTCCTCGCTCAATTCGCTGCCGTGAGCGACGTCAAGAATGACATGAATTGGGAGGATATCATTCCCCCTGAGGAGCGGCAGAAGTTTGAGAAAGAGGAGGATGAGCGGAAGGCTGAGGAGCTGGTTGCGGCGGAACTCAGAGATCGCAAGCGCACCCATGCACCTGTGTCCTATGAAGGCATGGACGTCGATCATCCTGCACCAGCACCTGCTCCGAAGAAACCCAAAATCCCAGGACCTCAGAGAAAGACCGCTAGTCAAAAAGCCATGGAGCTCAAAGAGCGAGACGTCCGCGTTCTTATTCGGAGTCTGCAGCGTTGGGGCGATATCCGTCAGCGTTACGACGTTATTGTGATTGAATTGTTACTTTCTCACAAACCAGAACTGACAATCCTTGTTTCTTATGTAGGTCAACGAATCTAAACTTGGCGACAAACACAAGGGCATGATCATGGACGTCTCCGACGAGATCATCGAAGTTTGCACGCAAGCTGTCGAGCAGAATAACCAGGAAAAGCGGGAACGTATGGCGGCAGGGGAGACCTTGACCAATGCCCAGAAGAGCAAGGCCGTCCTCGTTACTTTCCGCAATGTCGGGAACATCAATGCGGAGACCGTGCTATCACGGTACCGCGATCTGCGCATCCTGAACAATATTTTGGGCGAGTTCACTACGGAGGAGCTCTACAATTGGTCCATTCCGATTGAGAACATCAGACCGACTCTCAACTGGTCTGGGCGGTGGGGACCGCAAGAGGATGCGATGCTTCTTGTTGGCGCCTTCATATATGGGTTCGGCAACTGGGAGGCCATGGCGAAGGATGTGCGACTAGGCCTTCAAGGCAAATTCTTCTTGGAGGAAGGCAAGAAGGGGGAAGATGCGACAACTCGGCCGATCCCCAATGCCATCCACCTCGTCCGGCGAGGTGACTTCCTCCTTGGCCTACTTCGCGAGCATGATGAGAAGCTACGTTCGTACGAGAGCTCTTTACGGAATAAGGGTCATTTGAAGGGTTCGGCCACTCCTCCCCCAACAGCTGTGGCGTCGTCGTCGTCGTCACCTCCGATCGGCCGGAAACGGCGCGCGGAGAGCGAGGCCGTTGCGTCTATCGATGATGGTGGAGCGAAGCGACGCAAGAGACGGCCAACTCCCACCTTCACGGACTCCGAATCGTCGGACGAATGGTAAGTCTTGTGCTAGACCAAGTAGTGTACGGGTGCTGACGCAACTTTAGCCCATCGATGGATGAGGCTGCGACGAAGGAAGAGTTGAGACCAGTCAAGAAGCAGCTGGTAAGTAATTCCTTATGATGTTCGAGCCAACGTTAACTCCGTGTGTAGAAACAATTGAAGCTGTCTGGCGAGGACATGCCTCGCGACGACAAGGTTGCGATCCTCAAGGACTCTTTAGCTGCCATTGGACGACGCATCGAGATTGTTCTTCAGAATAAACAAGCCGCTGGAGAGGACCGAGAACGATGGCGTCGACATCTTTGGGCGTGAGTACGAAAACCTGGACCAGTTGTATCAATGTTCATATTTGATCGCAGTTTTGTGACGCTTTTCTGGCCTAAGAAAGTCAAGGCGTCAAAATTAGAGGATATTCACGCCAAAATGGTGATGAAGGAAGCTGCGCCACGAGCGTCGGCGGAAGCTTCGACCTCTGCCAAGAAGCCTCGCCCCAGTACAGGTGGCAAGAGCAATGGTGCACCATCTACCGCGACGAAGACCAATGGCAAAACCCATCGATAGTACTTCATTAATATTTTGTTCATACTCACTCTCATGCTTTGGATCTTACCCTCGTTCTTGCTTTCACGCTCTCTGGCTATCGCAATTAACTTTTTAAGATAGGTTGCAATACTCCTTATCCTTTATGACATGTATCAAATTATCAATTACATTTTCGATTCAGTCCGCAATGAAAATTTGATTTTTTGTGGCTCTTCGCAGTTTGTATTCTACATGAGTTCGAGGCACGAGAACGAAGATAGAATTAGGACTGCGGCAGCACTACGCCCCAAGGGCGAACTTTAAAATTTGCCCTGGAGCAGGTTGGAATGCCCGACCTCCTGCAAACCTTATGCTCTCCCCATTTTCCCCAGCCCTACCGTACACAGCTTTAGCCTACTGTCACATAAGCTCACTGTCACACCTGAGGCCTGCCAGTGCTAGTGAGCTTTGACCTGCTTTGAAGTTTGACATTAGTCGATTGATTGGTTCAAGTTGTCTGCTACTTCATTGCCTACTTGAAATCTCTTGCAATCATCATGCATGTCTGTCTCTTACCCCCAGAAATTCTGCTTCACATTTTCTCTATTTGTAAAGACTGCCAATCAATACGCCCTCGTGTTACACTTGCATCTCTTGCAAGGACATGTAGGACATTTAAGGAGCCTGCGCTCGATATTCTTTGGGAAAACATAGATGGGTTCAAGCCACTCATCTCATGCTTGCCTGGAGGTGTCGCCGTTATTATCAACACAGATATGGGAATAAACTGGGTGAGCAAAACATCTAAATATCTAAATATCTACACGACATGGAATACTCAATTGTTTCTTCAAAAAACAAATAGACACTCAAAAGACCTCTCCTGAACAAAGAATGGAGGATTGTTTATCAATATACACAACGTATCCACTTCTTTAGGGTCTGCCCCCATGACCTAGCCATTGTGGACGATCGGGTCATTCAAGCCCTCATGTCTGCACCATCACCGCTCTTGCCGAACCTTCGTATTTTGAATTGGCACGATGATGGAGAACGCTTCTTCCCGTTGTTGCGCACCCTCCTTGGGTCAACTATTACATCGGTGACGCTGATGTTTGATTCACCGCCACCCTCTTTTGCCAAATCTGCTTTGTTAACTTTCCTCGGAGCCCGATGTCCATCCATCCGGGCACTTGACTGCGCATATAGCGGCGATTCTGAAGAAAGTTCAGATGCAATATTCGAAGCTCTATGTGGCTTACAGGAGCTCCGCCGTCTTAACACAGTGATTCCCAACACACAAGCACTTCTTTGCTTGGCTACTTTACCGTCGTTGAAGTATCTACAATTCAGCCTGGCGACGTACAACATCAACGAGACACGACTTAATTCCACCCCGACATTTTCCTTCCGACTCGATCAAGTGTTCATCAATACACCATCGCCATCCGTTTCTAGTCATTGTCTGAGAAACGTCTGTTTTCTCTCCTGTCGATCAGCGAAGATCTTCGTTGATTACAGCAATTTGGCTCCTGGTGTATACACTGACACAATAGCCCCGTATGATCCACTGGATATACCAGACTTCATCGTCTCCTTTTCGAAGTGCTTCTCTCCCACTCTTGAGAAACTCGAAGTCGAACTCGGCTACAGTTTCACCACCCCTTTCGCATCGGAATACGTAGTCTATGATCCCAGCTTTGTACTTGGCTTTGACGTGGTTGCACCGTTGCTGTCGTTTAGTCGCTTGACGAACTTGCAGCTCGATTGGATGTGCACGTCAGCCATCGATGACAGCTCACTCAAGATAATGGCCCAATCCTGGCCTCAGCTCGAGTATCTTCAGTTTGGATGCGAGGCTCGTTGGATGATCCCACCGTCTGCCACCTTCATAGGACTCGTCCACCTCGTACATCATTGCCCGCGCTTGTGCCGCATTGGTATGCCCTTTTCCGCATGCCCAGTTGACATCAACGGCGAGCCGTTCTCCAATACCATTCCCAACGAGGAGATCACCAAAATTGATGTGGCGAATTCTCCAATTGTCGATCCCATCACCGTGGCCTGTCAATTGCATATGTTGCTGCCCAAGTTGACTAGTGTGGACTTCGACTGGGATGATACTAACTTTTGGTCGCCATTAGCACGTGGTGAATGGACAAGGGTGAATGATTTCCTTCAGGTGCTTACTACGAGCGTAAAAATGAAAGAGATAATGAGCCAAAACCACAGGAGCTCGTCGGCCTGATGGACCCTGTACATATTGACTTAGAGTGACTTGGACACCTACACGTATACACTGAAATATATACCTTGCAACGTCTACATTTGGCCCACGTCAACGCAGAACTTTCGGTATGCATATATACATGTTACTTAGATGCAGATTAAATGCAATTGCAACTACATCTCCGACCAAGATGATATTTTAATTTGGAAGTGACGGCTCTCTGCTATGCCAAAGGGAACAGATCTAATGATACACAGAAGTCCTACAAAAGCCCCGAAGTAAATGAAGCAAAAATAGGCGGTGACGGTTGCAGGGTCGTAAGGTGATCTCTTCACAATGTTAGGTCTAGCCTCAAAGAAGGGTATCTTACTCACTCGTACTCATTATCGTACTTGAAGACGCATTGCAGACTTCAAGGTCCCGGAACTTTGTCTCCGATGCCTCCTTGGAACATCCACTGTAACCGTGGATTGTCTATCAATCACAACCTCCTGGGTTGTTTGTCGAGAGCGATTTGTATGCCGATCGACCTGATGTCTGTCTGAAGGTTGTGGAGGAATTGCGGCAACAGCAGCAGGCTGCAGCTGTTGCTTCATCGCAGTCACTAAAAAGCAACTACTTTGAACATGCGATCGAAAAGGTGCATGGATGTCCCACCTTCCAGGAATCTAGCATCCGCTTCCCGAGTAAAACTCTGCGTGAGAGCCGTGTACCTTTTCACCTGCCAACTCATCTGAGATACCCGCGCGACGTTCCCTTGCGACTCAGCCCACTTCTTTTCCTCCTTGAACCGCCGCCGCTCACTATCTGCAAGCGACGCCTTTGCGCGTAGCACCGCTAACTCGCGTTCTAGTGGGCTCATGGTGTGGTTGGGATCGATGCTAGAAGTCGAAGTCAGCGAAGGTGGCGTACGCCATTGCTGATCTGGCTCGTTTTTGCGGGAGCGTGGTGGTCGACTGGGGGGTATCATTTGGTACTCTGTGCTAGACTGGAATTTGACGAGACGCTTTCGTTTTGGGGTGTATGTGCTCTTTTTGTCATGAACTGAGTCTCCGTCAAAGTCGTAAAAATAGCCGTCCTCGATAAGTTGTGATAGGACGTCGGTGACCAGGACACCAAGGGCGACACCGAGCAAGGTGGTTGCGCACCTGGAGACGTCCTGGAGTATCATGAACTCGATAACGAGCCTGGCAGCGATGCCAAATGCAACGACGAACGCGAAATCAGGATATTCCATTAAAGCATAATATAGCGCAACGCCTTGGACGACGCCAAGAAGGATGACATCGCTGATGACACCCTCGTCAACACTGGCGTCAGCAGAGCTCGAAAACTTGTTGAGGGCAATGCGTACGCCCAGACCAAATAGTAGAGCAGGCGCTGTTGAGAATGTCATGGGAAAGACTTAAACAGTCTTATGCATTCGGACGGCGTCCCGACAGCTTTAGTATTCGCTTGTTGTTCAACTTCGTGTGAACCAAATGGGAATAACGTAGACCCAAACAATGCCGTTCGACAAATACAAAACAGGTGTTAGTCTTTCTGTGTCCAGGATGCAAAGAATATGCTACAAATTAAAGAATAGGAGAGAGCAAGGAGAAAGCAAGGTAAAATACATCATCGCGTATATACATCTTCGCTGTCCACGTAGTTTGCCATGGGATCTTCAGCATTCCGGCGTGTCATTCGATAAGCCTCTGCAAGATGATAGGCCATATCAGAAGGTGCCCAATCGCAAGGTATGAAAAATTAAACACATACCGAGCTCCTCCTCAGTAACATCGTGGCTACCGCTCTGCAAGCCTTTCATCTTCTTGCTAGATCGATCATCGTCCTTATCTCCTCTACCTTTCCGCTTCTTCTCCTCATTGATGGCCTCTGCTAATCGATCCTTATCGAGAGAGACGTCTCCTTCGCCTACTCGCTTCTTCGAGTAATTCTGCTCTATTCGGGCTCTCGCCTCGTTGTTCTGGGAAGAGGGCTCTGATTGAGCATTTGATGATGCAAGCAAGGCTTGGGCCGTTGAGGCCTGTGCGGCTTCCTTGCCCACTTCACCAGCGCAATATGAAATGTGGATGGTTGAATGGCAGCACGCATATCCCCAGGTACTACTTGAAAGGTCGTACCACGAGCCCCATACATCCGTATGATTATTGACGTAAACTAAACCGTGTCAACACCACATCTCGCACCTATCAGAAAGTAGAAGCTCACCATCCTCTGGATACTTTGACCGCACTTTAGCGCGTTCTTTCCCTTTAATAATTTGGCCAGTCCGCGAATATTCCACATAATCCTCCGTTTGCCCATTTATCAGCTCCCTTGGCACGTGTTCGAGGTACTCCTCGCCACCATACTTTGCTAGAATGCTGACTTTGTTGACATCCTTCATCATTTCCTTCTTCTCCTTGAATTCGTGGTGAAGAAGTTGACCTTGCGTGGGATTGGCGTTGAGATGAACGTCATTCCCTCGAGCTGCTGCTTGCCACGCGAAAAGCTGCAGTTCTTGAACTTCAGGAGCCTCGCCAGAGAATCGAAAGAAGTTATCCCCGGCAAATTTCGCCTGTCGTAGAAGACATTTAGGGCCGAATCAAGAAGAAAGCGTGAACACATACATCCTCAGCAGGCACATTCTTCATGGGAGCGTCACGCATTGAACGAGTCTTTGGATCGTAGTATGCGCTCTCTGGGTCCAAGTTCATGAGATATTTGGCGGTATCTTCTCGGATGCGCAGGTTCCGAACTGTAATGCGAGTCTTCGTGTCAAGTTTTTGTCCTACAGCATCTGCAAGCGTCGGCATATTTGTCGTCGTCGGCGTCTTCTTCATCGCTCGAACCAAAGTCAGGATCAGCCTCCTTTCCCTCCTTTTTTCCAGCTTTTGCCACCTTCCGCACCGCAGCCAAATCTGTTGTTGTTTGGTTGTCAATCTCCTCCTCCCTCAATTTCTGACGTGCTGCCTCAACAGCTTCGTACTCCTCATAGATTTTCTTGTGCTCTGCAGGATCATACCCGTTCCATCTATCCCTCTTCGCATCAAATCCCGTCGCTACGTCATGTATGATCTCGTCCGCTTGGATATTCTTGTTCGTGAACTTCGCCCCCTTCTTCCGAGGACGCTCAAGACAGTCCTGCTTCTTGTGGGTCATTGCGCCGCAATTTTCGCATGCGCCTTTTCGGTACTTCTTTGCAGCAGGTCCTGCTTTCGCACCACGGTCATACCAGTTGTCGAGTTTGTCTGCGGAGCGATCGTCGAATGGCCGACGTTGATGGCTTAGTGACGGTGCGCCGGTGTCAAGATACCACGGAGCCTGGGAGATGTATTCTGTGATGGAGGATAAGATCACTCGATAGATAATTCTATATAATATAAACTCACGAGGAATGTGAGGATTGATAGGCCGTCCCTCCTCGTCTAGAGCTGCAGGAGCAGTTCCAGCTTTTCTGGCAGCATCGAGGTCCTTTTGGCGTCGAAACTCCTCACGTGAAAGCTTTCCGACAGCTGAAATGAGTTAATTTGAGATGAACCCATTACTCGAAGAGTTTACATACCTGAAGATGAAGCCATTTTGTTGTGACCTTGGACGGTTCGTGAGGAATAACTTGAAAGTGCTTGTGTACGTAAGTCAATATCTTTACAAATTAATTATGGAAGTAGTGTCTCACGCCATTGGTGGCTCCAACTAGTGAATCCTTCTTTCAAGGGGAGACCGAGGACACTTGTGAGGAGGGACTTTGAAAATCAGTCAAAATCCTGCTCACGAGTGTCCTGTCACATATTCTTGAACCCTACCGCATCATTGGGCCCGGTCACCCTATCGATAGATGCGCCGGAGTCTTCTCTACAGAAAGAATGAAATCGCCGAAAGATCTGTCCTTATCCGTGTTGCGAGGATAGGCATGATACTTGATTACGCGCCTCGAACTACTCGCGCTATGATGGAATTTCTGTCCAGAGCACACAGGAAAAAGCGATGTCTGGGTCCACCCAGAAGAGCCCAGAAGCTCTTACTTCGCTGTTATCACACGAAGGCTTGGATTGCTGTCAGCGCAAAGCTACCTTCGGTTCCAATGCACATACTTCCTCGTATAATTTAAGTTCTGGCGAGTTCTCACATTCAATCAACTGTTCTAACTTACAATGTCTTGGTGTAGCAGGCCGTTATATGCGTTATCCTCTCGCAATAAATGGGGAAACGATAAGTTTTGGGATCGGATGAGCTCAATGTCATCAAAACGCATGTTCTCATGTTCACGCTGTCAGTACGTCCTTGAGTGAATTGAAGGTATAGTCACTATCGCTCATACCGTTCGATGAGTCGGTTGGGAAACTTAGTATGCCAATTGGCCATCCGTATAGGTATAAATATCAATTGAATTCCAAACCACTAGGTTGTATGTTTGACGTTCAGACAACGGTTCAGCGTTCAGTAGGTAGACTGCGAGCGCCGAACGTTGGATTTATACCGCCGATGAATATCTGATATATAATATATACTACTTAGCTATGGCGTGCAGGTCTACATGGGCGCCGGGAATAGATCTGTCAGCCAACGATCATCAAGCAGTCCATGTCAGCCACTGAGCTCGAGACATATAAAAGCTCGCTCTTCACGCTCTCCGACCCCATCCATTTTTGTCCTTCGACTTCGATTCGACTTCTTCTCTTACGCTTGTTGCTTGCATCTGCTACCCCACATTCGTTCATAATGCGCTCCCTTTCAATGCTCGCTCTCGTGCTCCCTGCCGTGCTCGCAGTGCCTCTTGAAGTCACCACTCATCACCAGTATGTAAGTGCCTAAACAATCATTCATCAAAGTGTACTGTTGATTCGACTTGCCCGCCCTGCCAGTCACCTTCCTCCTGTGTCATCGCAGACGTCGCTTATCCAGACCCTCGCCACGCCCTCGTGCTCCTTGGCAGACGAGAACTCAGCCCTCCCACCGGACTATCCGAGCGTACGTTCACCGACCTCCTAGTCTGGTGCCACGAGATTGGTCGTTCATCCACTGGTCTACTCGTTGCTCGTCAGGAAGGTGGCTGCCCTTCGGGAGCTTTCGGTGGTCCAGTAGGGAGTGATAGCACGGCTGGCCCAATCGATTCAGGAGGCGCTCCACACAATTCTTCAGCGTCAGGTGATCAGAGCGCAGGCTCTTCCGCTGCTGGATCTTCGACGACCCCCGCCACTGTTTCACCTGCCGTTTCACCTGCCAACTCTGTCGCTCGTCCCGCATCTCCGGGGGACACACCTTCAGAGACGCCTGGAGATGCAACTGGGCCTATGACATCTGGAACATCAACCGGTAGTCCCGCTAACAGTGACGCTTCTAACGGCGACGTTTCTAACGGCGACGCTTCTAACAACGCCGGAACTCCTGCCAACCCTGCGGGAGAAAGTCCCTCTGGAAACGCGGCTGCGACCACCGGCCCTGCGGATAGCAACGCATCTGATAACGGGAGTGCATCTGCGACACCACAGTCTGCTCCACCTACATCTGCCACTCCCTCCACTGCGACATCTCCGATTATATTTGTCGACAGCACAAGCCCCGTCGCGGACATCAACGCGTCGGACAGCCTTAACAACATACAGGCGAACGGAATAGCAGCGTCATCCATACCCTCAGGTGCAACACCTCAGACACCCCCAGATGGTACTGTCGACGGTGGCACGACGCCCAATACTGCCCCAGATGGTACTGTCAACGGTGGCACGACGCCCAATACTGCCCCAGATGGTACTGTCAACGGTGGCACGACGCCCCAGGCTGGCCCCGATGGTACTGTTAATGGTGGTACGCCCGCTCCTACTAGCCCAACGGTGTCTACCCCTGCAACACCGGCCAATTCCCCTATTGCTGGAACGGAGATTCATGGTTGCCAAACTAATATAGTGGACGTTGCGGGCGTTGTATCTGCGAGCGTAGGCAGCGCGGCGACTTGTGATAGCGTATAAGTTCCTGTAGCATTGTAATGCAGATGCGTTTCTTGCCACCACTGCCGTCAATAAGGGGGTGTCCAAAAATGGCAGCTATGCCCAAACAACGCGCAAATAACGCGAACAACGTATCTGAGTCTTTACTGAATACCACTGCAGCTTTATACCAGCAAGTAATACTTATACCCGGTCCTCACTGATACAATACTAGTCTGTCGGAGACTCATTCACGATGTCGACTCACCTTGCGATACTGCCACTTGGTAAGCTTTTCGTCTTGTCCACACCAGCCTCCATGTCAACTTGTCTTGCCATTCCGTACAGACATTATTGACACATTGACTGCGCGGCTAAATCAAGAAAACCGCCATCCCAGCTATGCAACTCAGTTTCTAAGACTTCCGCACCCACGTACAGGTTGGTTGATATACGACTACCTATCGTTCTCAGCGCTTACAACGATAAGGTCTCGCTTCATTGTTTCTTCATGATCAACATGCACAGGGTGATACCACAAAGACGAGTTCCATATTGGAGGTGCAAGCCATATCCCCGACAAATGCGCGGACCTGGTTTATAGGAGAGGAAGTCGTCGCTGGTGCGTTATGCAGACCTTGGTCCCAATCGTACGTGCTTCTGATCCACAGGTGTGTTTAGATGGAAAGCTCGTGGTGATGACACCGATGGACCCCATGTTTTTGCTCATGTATCTTTTACGCGCTCCACAAACAGTATGTTATCGTACACACTGCTAGTCCCCAAGACAATGTTCGTTTTACAGCGCGACGGCTCGAAAGGCAACTTCCGGCCTATGCAGGATATTATAGAAGAAGTCGCTGCGACGATTGCTGATGCTTCCAAGAAAGATGCTCAGAAAGACCCGTCATTAAATGTCTCCGCAGACGACATTATTTCCTTTTTGTCTCTGGATTTTGTCCAGTCCTCTATAAAGCGTGTTTGCGACGTTAAGGGTATGTGTTTCGAGTGTCGCACAACCATTTATTAACATGTCTGTGCTCAGTCATAACGGATGAGATTACCGTATACAGATACTCTCATGATGTTGTGCTGGAAAATCTTAAGAGAAAAGTGGGACGCTTATCCGAACCCAGGGTCGCCGAGATGTCTCGCACTCTGGTACGGAGCCTTGCGAAGGATGGCCTGATGGACTGATGGAAAAGAAAAGCTACTTGAATGTGCGTCATTTTCCACCGCTTATCTCTTGCTGACATATTTTTTTCCAGCGGGACGAATCAAGTTAGCCTGTGAATTGCTATCGCAATATCTCCCCAGGGACATATTGCAAGACTTGATTGCATCTTACGAGTATGTGTCTCGTTTACTGCAGTTAGCAGATATTGATATGTCACCAGTCTCTCCAAACTGGACGCCCATGTGAAAACGGTGAGAGATGAAGAACTTCGCTTTCCTCGCTGTAGCTCCCGACACCAGGAAGAGAGCGAAGCCTGCAAAATCCGTTGCAGCCGGCAATAAAAATCAGAAGAGGAAAAAAGACACCGAGGCTACTGCGAATGCTGACGTTGACACATCTGGCGATGGAGATAAGAAGAAAAAAGGCGCCAAATCGTCACATGGTGTAGAGAAGCTAAAGAAGGCCAATGTAGCAGGGATGTCGAAATTGTCCACATTTTTCACGAAGAAAGCTGCATAAATGTAACATCGAGTCATGCGCCTCACTCTTGGCGGCCCCATGATGCTTTGGCCGTACACTCGTTCGACTCGTTAGCTCATAAAGATAAGATGTTATTTATTTTCTTCCTCCGATCTCATGACCTCCCATGCAGACTCCGCAATCACATATTCACACTGGTGACTGGTCTACTGACAGTTACTATTCGGGAATGCTCTTGGAAATATGTAAATACCCATTAAGCTGCCACGAGGGTTACTTTCGTTTTTTGTCTCGAGCAAGGTCATCAATGATATATTGAAAATCATTGTTAACAAGCCACGAACTATCACACTGTTGGCATCGAAACAATACGGAGAGGGACCAGTATTTGCGTCAATACTCAGCACCGTCATTTGAGGGACACGTGTCGAGATGCGCATGAAAGTGTTATCAGAACGGACCAGGCGTATGTAAATGCGTTCACCTATCCAAATATTCCCAGCATTCTGTTCCAAAACCTAGACCGCGGGTGCTGATCAGTTCAACGTGGACGGGTGACGAGCATAAGATGCATGAGAACAATAATAGTTTCGCGCATTTAATTGACACGAGTCCTTGCAGGCTTGTCAGAGTATCCCGTGGCGCACGTGTAGCTCGGAGTAGCCCAGTCCCCAACTCCCATCAGGTGCCAGCACGGATTTCTGTTTATCCGTTCTATGTTTGAAATATGTTGAGCCTAAGCCGCCCAGAAGAATGCAGATACCTATTAGACGTTTAACCGTGATCAATTAACAGTCGATGTCAATGAACAAAAAGAGTAGTCGGGACTGGACGTATCGTAGGAGGATCATGGCTTATGTAACAGGTACAAATAACTTGTAATACCAAATTTGAACTTCGCCACTTTTGAAGTTGGTAATGGATGTTGCAGCGGCACGACATGCATATGCACTCACGATTGCGTGATATCGTCTCATCGCAGATTACAATGACGATGCTTCATAGGTAATTACCGAGGTTTTCGCTCACATGTAAGCTATTAAACACTCACAGTTAGTTTAGGTAGTTTGTCCTTTACTCCCCAGATACAATATTAGAAATGGCCACCCCTCATGGCGGAATTTTGAAAGTACGTTTATGTATTTGCGCGCTTCACGCCATCTAACATCTGTGGATTATGCAGGACCTTGTTTCACGAGATGAGTCAATATCCGGGCAGCTCAAGGATGAGGCTGCGAGGCTCAAGGACATTGTGCTCACCGAGGTTCGTCTCCCGAGTGACAGGAACGTTGACACCAAGCTGAATGTGGATCTTGAATAGCGTCAACTCTGTGATCTCGAACTGATTATTAATGGCGGCTTTAGTCCATTGGAAGGGTTCATGAACGAAGCTGATTATACAAGGTAGGAGAGGTATCCAAGTCAGAGAAAGTAACGCTGAGATTTTCTGTCAGCGTCGTCGATACATTACGACTGTCTGACGGCACACTCTTTGCAATGCCTGTCACACTTGACGTGTCTTCTGCCGATATCGAGCGTCTCAGCATAGTGCCTGGCGTTCGTATTGCTCTCCGAGATCCTCGTGATGACGAAGCACTTGCAATCATCACCGTTGATGATGTCTACACCTATGACCGTGTCAAGGAGTCTATTTATGTTTTTGGTGCCGATGATCCAACGCACCCTTCCGTTGCGTACCTCCGCAACCGCGTCAAGCCTTTCTATGTAGGAGGAAGGGTACAAGCCATACAGGCACCCTCACACTTTGATTATGTTGCTCTCCGATGTAAGTTATATCAGTTTTGGGGCTACTAGCCTTGCTAAAAAAAGGGTTACCAGATACCCCTACTGAACTCCGTGCCCACTTTAAAAAACTTGCATGGCGCAGAGTCGTCGCTTTTCAGACCCGGAACCCAATGCACCGTGCTCACCGTGAGCTCACCGTTCGTGCTGCTCGCCAACATCAGGCGAACGTCCTAATCCACCCTGTCGTCGGTCTTACGAAGCCAGGAGATGTTGATCACTATACTCGTGTTCGCGTATACGAAGCCATCATGGCCAAGTATCCAAATGGAATGGGTCACCTTGCGCTCCTCCCCCTTGCAATGCGCATGGCAGGTCCTCGTGAGGCAGTATGGCATGCAATTATCCGAAAGAACTTTGGTGCAACTCATTTCATTGTCGGTCGTGATCATGCTGGACCAGGGAAGAACTCACAAGGCAAAGATTTCTACGGCCCATATGACGCACAAGAACTTGTTGAGAAGTACAAGGATGAGTTGGAAATAGAGATGGTTCCATTCCAACAGATGACATACCTCCCGTCCACCGATGAGTATCAACCGGTGGACGAAATACCTGCTGGAGCGCAGACTCTGGATATCTCTGGCACGGAGCTGCGGAGGCGACTAAAAACAGGGGCGCATATCCCTGACTGGTTTAGTTACGAGTACGTTCCCATCCTCAGTATCCTACGCATCAATTTAACAAGCGCATCAGGGCTGTGGTGAAGAGGTTGCGAGAAAGTTACCCACCAAGGAACAAGCAGGGCTTTGTTCTGTGTCTCACTGGCTTTTACAACTCTGGAAAGGACATCATCGCAAAGGCTCTCCAAGTCGCACTCAACGAGCAAGGTGGTCGCAGCGTATCCCTTCTCCTGGGCGAGACCGTGCGAGATGATGTTAACGCCAAGTTGGGCTTCACACCAGACGAGCGTCACGAGAACTTGCAACGCATATCCTTCGTAGCAGGCGAACTCGCTCGCGCAGGGGCGGCTGTCATTGCTTCACCTATAACCCCTGAAGAACGGTCACGAGCGTTGGTGAAGGATACTGTTCTTCAAAGTGGCGGTGCAGGAGGGAACTTCTTCCTGATTCATGTTGCGACGCCTCTCGAGCATTGCGAGAGCACTGACCGCAAAGGCATTTATGCCCAAGCGCGTCGCGGAGAGATAGGGGGTTTCGTTGGTATTGACACCGAGTATGAAGTGCCAAAGAAAGCAGATCTGGTTGTAGACGTGACCACGCAGAGTATACCTTCCATCGTGCACAGTGAGTCCAACTTAATTTTCCATCTTGACGGTACTTACCATGTTCTTAGGTATCGTTCTCTTGCTTGAGACAACTTCGCTGCTATGAGTGCTCGAAATACCATGACGACTAGACTATACCATTTGTTATTACCATCGCATTACAGTATCGTCATTCTCAGGTGTACTTTGATGCTACCAAAGACAACTCGTAGATTAGCATACATCAAAGTTCTCAATCAAACACAATAAAACATACACAGTCAAGTTACAACAGAGGAGCATTCTTCAAGCTTTCTATCTCAAGTTCACATCAGAAAATAATATCGGTCCTGCACGACACCCCGTACTCGAAGGTGTCGATCGCATCACCTGCCACATCTGCGGTGTCATCTAGGCATGTCCCATCAATTGCATCATTAGACTCAAGCGATGGCCAACTGACTTGATAGCTTTCTTCATCGACAACCCTATTGACATGGCAGACCAGCTGCGATCCACGCATCATGACCGCCCACTATATCGGTCGCATTCCACAGCCCAAGCTCATGCAGGGACGCCGCAGCCAATGAGCTGGTGTACCCTTCATGACAAAATAATATAATCTTCGAATCATAGCGATCTGCAATTGTCAATCGCGCTTCGCAGCGTGGGTCAAAACGCCACTCCAGAACGTTTCGCTCGACGATGAGAGATCCGCGGATCTCGCCTTCACGATCGCGTTGTGCAGCAGGGCGAATGTCCACGAGAAAAACGGGCACCGGGTATGTGGGATCGTGAAGTGCGTCGTAAGCTTGTTGGGGCGTCATTCGCTCGAGCTTGGCCCGGGCGTTGGAGAGAATTTGGTCGATGCTGCGAGATCCACGGGGAGGAGAATGAGGGTTGTGAGTGCGCACGGAGTTGAACAATATGTCCCACAAGGCGGCCTCGTGGTATGACGAGGGGCCAATATGCCGTATGGATGCAGCTTGAGCAATGACAGTGCCCGTGTTGTCGACTGCATCTACCCTTCCTGGAAATTTGGAAGACGCGAGAAGCACAGCCCGCTGCATATCATCCGCATCTGACCCGCAGATGACGAGTGCGTCTGAAACACAGGCATCACTACCAGCATCGGTTGACGACATACCAATGATGGCTATGAAAAAGAGATATGGGGATAAAGGTAGGCAGGCGGATATATGGGAAACGACAAGTCGAAGAAAGTTACTGTCGTCCTCCTTCGAAAAGTGGATACCGATGCGGACACCGTCTACTGTGCACGCATTGGTGATCATGCGGAGTGCGATGCTCTGGGCGGCCTCCTCACTCACATCTAAAAAAGTTTGACAGTTGGTGGAGGAAGTGGGAGATAATTGGATGTGTTGGTGCTCGACAGCAACAGTGGATGATGCAGAGAATGACATGGAGAAATGTTTTCGTTGCAGAAATTTTGACTAAACAGTCCTACAGTCCTACGTGCGTCAGATGGTGTTGAAAGCGAAAATGCAACGGAGAAGGTTGAATCAGCATATGCAAACGATCCCGCAATATAAGCACAACGCATTGGGGCAACGCCATCATGCGTCATGATCCGTGTGCACGGTTTGCGAACGCGATTATTTTCATAACACTGCGTTATGCAACGTACGCGTGAAGCTCTCGTAGGTTGCATTGCTGGCAGAACACGTGTGCTTACCAGGAGGGGATGATCGTCCGGTGTGGTTCTTCGAAATTTTGTCCTTATGAAATAATGCCGTGAGATGCCGCTCCGGTTGTTGAGCAACTATATCTTCCTTCGTGCCAGGCAAATATCATGAACTGAAGTTTGTGTCAATGTCAATGTACTTGATAGTCTGTCCTAGACAGACCTTTACAGGCGAAATAAGATACTTGGACATTCCTGTAGGGCTGAGTGTGAGTTCGACGGGGATTGCGAACAGAGATGAGATAGATATGAGACGTGTTGGTAGGTAACACGAAGATAGGTATGAAGACGTTTAGAGGCGGAGACGTTCTGTGAGGCGTTCGGTCATACTTGGAGTGGGGAATCAGCACATGATACTGCTGGATTTCGCTATAGGTATGAGTATACATGGACGGTATATATACGTTTTCGAATACTTGACTAGACCAGAATGAGCATGAGGAGCATATGGTGAATGTGAAATTGAACGGCGAAGGCAAGGGGATCGTGGAGTCTGAGCATAAGGTAAAGTAATGAAAAAGATATCCGCGTGTCTCGGATGCGAAGAGTTGCGTGGACAACTTCGAGCGTCTTCGTTTTGAAGCGTGGTCGGTGCGTAGAGGATATAATATCCTTACATTCCTTCTAATAAAGATGGGCTTAACAAACTCACCAAAGTCAGATAGTGAAGAATAATGGATAGAGACGGTTGTCACAAGTCTCCCCTAGGATAGGCCACATAGAGAAAGACGGTCATTCCTTCGTATCAAGATTGGCGATGTTGAATAGTCATGCCATCCACAAAGTAATAACCCCGTTACCCTCGCGTCGCCCATAATGAGAGTACGCATGTAGTCTCCCCTAGTCGGACCAACAGAGAAGGAAGACAGTCGTTCATTATGCTAAAGTGACATTACTAAGGTCGACTTGAAGGAAGACCTGCGAAATGTGCAGCAGCATGTGCTGTTTGACCCAGAGACAGTAGCTATGCTCTGATCACGTCGTCCAGGTTCTTCAGGAAAAATGTTGGTCCATTCGTCTTAGAAACAAGGAGCGCCGACGATGAAAGCGCCTGGGATCATATAAACATGTGTTTCAGTTACACGGTATAGCCGAACCTATTGCCCACGGGAAGCGAGCACTCAAATTCGTTAGACCGATCTGCAACCGTGACCGTCCTTTCTTCCTTGCTCAGTAATGTTGTCTGTGTTTCGGCGTGTGCCCCGGTCTTTCAACCGGTCGATTAGTGCTTCCATCTCTTATCGATCATCACTTGGGGTCCCAAGTAGCCTGATCCTTCGAGCTGCCGCACGCGCCATGTCTGTTCACCACGGAGAATCTACCATTCGACCAGAGCCGGACAAGGTCCTGAAGGATATTGCAGACTATGTTCACAACTACCAGGTCACTTCAGACCTTGCGTTCGAAACTGCACGACTTTGTCTCATAGACACTATCGGATGCGGACTGGAGGGTTTGAATTTCCCAGAGTGTACCAAGCTCCTTGGACCCGTTGTGGAAGGCACCGTCGTGCCTAATGGTGCGACATCTTGGTATGAATGAATGATAAAATGCTGAACTGTTGGATGCAGGCACCAAGGTTCCTGGAACGAATTACCAACTGGATCCTATTCGTGGCGCATTCAATATTGGCACCATCATTCGCTGGTTGGACTTCAATGATTGCTTCCTCGCTGCTGAATGTGAGTAAGACAATAACGAACAGTTCGCTATCAAGCCAGACGTGTAGATTGGTACATGACTGTCTCATGTCGAGCAGTGCGAACGGGTGATAAATCTTGCACATGAGCTCACTCTACATTCTAGGGGGTCATCCATCAGACAACTTGGGTGCTATTCTCGCGGTTGCGGACCACCTCGCTCGCCAGGGACAACCTCTGACCGTTCGCGACATCCTCGAGGGCATGATCAAAGCACACGAGATCCAAGGTGGCCTTGCCCTGCTTAACTCTTTCAACCGTGTTGGCCTCGACCACGTCGTGCTCGTCAAGGTTGCCAGTACCGCTGTTGTCTCCAAACTCCTGTAAGTGCACCTCACTTTGGAGTTGAATGGAACAACTAAGATGGTACACGTAGCGGTCTTTCACACTCTCAGACGATCGACGCCGTTTCGCAAGCGTGGGTTGATGGTCAATCCCTCCGTACTTACCGTCATGCACCAAACACCGGCCCTCGCAAGTCGTGGGCAGCAGGTGATGCCTGTTCCCGTGCCGTCAACCTCGCTCTTCTCGTCAAGAAGGGCGAGCTCGGTCTCCCCTCAGTCCTCACCGCCAAGACTTGGGGTTTCTACGACGTCCTCTTCAAGGTAAGATACCCCCAAAGTACAGCAATTCCACCCGCTGAACTAGACCTCCAGGGAAAGCCATTCGAGTTCCAAATGCCCTTCGGCTCATACATCATGGAAAACGTCCTTTTCAAGATCTCGTATCCCGCCGAATTCCATGCCCAAACCGCAGTCGAGGCCGCACATACCATCCACGAGCAGCTCAAAGCACTCGGCAAATCCTCAGACGACATTAAGAGCGTTCGCATCCGTACACAGGAGGCTGCCATTCGCATCATCGACAAGCAAGGTCCCTTGGACAACTTCGCTGACCGAGAGTAAGTATCCTAATTTATTCATGACGGTGCAAACTTACTCATGGGTCCAAAGCCACGCGATCAGCTACATGGTTGCCTACCCCCTCATCTTTGGTGAGCTAACCTCGAACTCGTACACCGACTCCTCTGCTGCCGATCCCCGTATCGATGCGTTACGCGCCAAAATTCACTGCGTGGAGGACAAGGCATTCTCGGTGAACTATCATGAACCGTCAAAGCGCTCCATTGGAAATGCACTCCTCGTCGAATTGAACGACGGCACAGTTCTTGATGAGGTTGAGGTCGAGTACCCTGTTGGACATAAGCGTCGCCGCGAGGAGGGTATCCCTCTTCTCATGGAGAAGTTCAAGAGGCATATCTCCACACATTTCAATGAGGCCCACCAACAAAAGTGAGTCAGCGTACTCTATGCAGTTTTTCGAGCGCTGATCCGTCCCACAAGGATTCTGGCCACCGTAACTGACGCGCAGTCACTGTCCAAGTTGCCAGTCGACAAGTTCACTGATCTCTTCGTTAAGCCGTGAAATGGTACATGTACATGTAGTGCGATTCGATAACAATTGGGAAATTCCATGAAATTAATACACGCGTGCTATCTGTCCAAATCCGTCTATCAACAGTATGCGTGCAAGATGAATATCTATGACTGTCCCTGAGTAATCTGCAAAAAAAAGACATGGAAAACAATGCTCGGAGACAAAAGCGTGATTGAAAGAACAAATGCAAAGCCGCAGTTAGAGACTTCATCGAGCGGAAACTGAACATGCGTCGCTCCTTGTTTTCCTCCCGCGCGGCTTCTTCTTGAGCTGCTGGGATGTGCCCACAACTCCCCCTCTGGACCGCGATTGCATGTGGCTTTGATAAGGGTACTCTTCCTGTTCCTGTGTTGAAGGAAGACGGACTTTTGCGGGCGAAGCTCCATGAGGGAACGAGTACGGCTGGGCTTCATACTCGTCAACAGAGTCCGGGTTAGGAACACCAAGGTGCTGTTCTTGGTGGTACCTCTGAGGTGTTGTATTGTCGTCAGAATAGTCACGGGAGGAGAGACTGTACTGGTGACAATTGGTAGACCGATAAGCAGATGTAGACGAGGCGTCCGCAAGACCGCTTAGCTCCTCTTCCGGTACAGAAGACAGTCGGCTTTGTATCAACCGCGCAAGGGGGACAGACCTGGGTTGTTGATATGACATACTGCGAGACCGCGATCCAGGAGACTCAGGCGAGGGAGGAGCAACGGAAACAACGGTACGACCAGTACTGACGGGGTGGCGAGCTGCCGTCAGAGGAAGCTCAGTGGTACCAGCATAACAAGGCTGCTGAGAAGACAGTGCATGGAAATTGCGCAAATAGTTGGCAAGACCGCCAGAAACATCTGAAGGATGCCGATTGACTGCAGAAGGGACGTCCCTGTCATAATGCGAAAGCATAGAACCACAGCCGCCATTTCCATCGAAGAAACGAGTCTCGACATTATTATCCTGACGATCGTACAAGAGCCTGGCTTGATGAGACGCATCCATGAAGGGGCGTTGTGCTTGCTGGGTGTGATGAGGCAGACCTAATGTGTTCTGAATGTCCATCTCCGGAGATACGGAAGGATACTGATAGGGCGAAAAGTTCGATGACCACTGGGGAGAGGAAGAACTTGGTGGAGTAGGTAGACCAGCCTGTTGCTTGAGACGGAATTCCTGACGTTGACGATACTGCTGAGCAATCTCAATGGCGGACAGACGTTGTGCTGCATTGACCACCTCATTGAGACGCGGTTCCACGAAGATTTTCGGGTAAGCCGGAGTAGCGCGAGGATGATTCGAAACCGGAAAAACTGGCTTGAGACCTTCAGGGTAAGCTTGATTGAGCGCACTGTTCTGAAGCGACTGCTGAGCGAATGCGAACTGCAAATCCAATAGAAGCTTTTCATCATTGAAAGATGAACCAAAGCCTCTTTCGTGGGCCTCCGATTCGCGAACAGTCGGTACACCGGTTTCTGACCGCCAAGAACCTGAGGAAGGAAGACCGCGAATAGCTGGTTCAGCTTTTGAGTCATGTAGATGGGGTACCTGCGAGTGTCCATGAATGCGACGTTCATGGTCGGGGTGACGATGAACAGTGGAAGTTCCTCCACCAGCGACCCCTTTGAACGTTTTCTTGTTGATCACGGCTGCTCGTACCTGTTGAGGTTTCTGGAATACGTGTCTTTTTTGCGTTTGTGGTGTGACCTGGGGGTTAGGGAAGCCTTTATGTTGTGTTTCGTCGTCCGTATGCTCACTATCACCATGATATTGACAAGATTCGTCGTGGCCTAAACCCCATATCATTCGAGATACGTTGCCTGGCTCCTCGATGATCGTTCCTTCAGCTCCCCTAGAGATGGTAAGCTACTTTGCGTTTATTACATGTTTCACTTACGATGGACAGCGAGCATACGGGAGGGAAAGCGGACCATGAAGTGCTGGGATAGGGCGGGGAGGAGAACTTGCCCACGTTGTCCAGCCTACATGGAGAAAAATGAACCTCAGCGTCGCAATTGTTAGTCAACACAAACCATTTCCGGGTGATGCTATCTTGTTGGAATATCTTCGCCGAAGGAATCCATCAGGAAGCTGCGTATGACTGTCGATGATGAGGATCGACTCAGGAGACGACGGCGGAGAAGGCGTGTGCGGAACGTCTGAAGGCGGTGGACAAACTCTGACTCGATGGCGTTTCTCAATATACGACGATCCGAAGGATGCACCTGCGGAGGAAGACTCGATCGGATCCAGAGACAAGTCAACAGCAGCCGCAAGATACTCGGGCATGGAAACCACCCGCATGTCATTTTGAGAGTCCAACTTAATATGCTGCGTCGACATGTCGTCCGGCATAGAAATCACGCGTCTTTCGACGGTGTTGCCTTCTGGGCGACGTTCGACTAGGAATAATTTGCGCCTAGGAACGCAACGAGATATCAAGGATGCGCACATGGGGCTAACGGGGCTATGTTGGAGATTGGACCGACTATATGCGCTGTTATCATCAACAGAAAAAGGTGAAGGAGGTAATTCTGGATCGACTGATGGCAACCGGGTTGTGATCTCGTGTAGAAGCGGCCCAGAGTGACAGTCATCGAAGGTAGTTTGAGGAACACCAATCGCTGTCAAGTCGGAGATCGTTGCAGATTGTGGGGAACATGAGGTTTGCACCCCTCGATCAATATACTCCTTCAGATATCCCATGGTTCAGAATCGCGAAGAGGCTGCGTCTGTCTAGGGGCGACTGAGGTCGTTCGAGTAAGTGCACAACCTACGTCGAGATAGCTAAGATAGGTTCAAATTTATATATTTATTTATCGGGTAATATTTTTATCTTTATTTACGTAAACTGGTTAAATCGTGGTAAGTGAAGCCCCAAGCGGCCAAGCCAGAAGCGTCCAGCAGATCGTCGCGAGGCAGACCATGCAGTCACCCTAAGATAAGGGTCTGTTAGCTAGGGCAAGAGGGACACGGAGATGGCAGCGGTTTCGAACCTGCGATAGTTCTCGTCAGGGGCTACCGCTACCCCAACCGCGCCGGATCGACCCTCTCGTTCTGTCTAGGAACAGTACTACTGAGCCGGTGGCCTTTAGCACATCTGAACCCTAAAACCCACTCATTAAGGGACCCTAATCAACCGTTTCCGTACCGACCTGGAAGCCCGTTATGCGAAACGTCACCCATGCGGAACTAGGAACCAGTGCGCAGCAGCTAAAACACCTCCTAAACGACAAGAAATGTGTCAAGCCACTATTCAAATTCATCGCACGTACTCGCCGCTTCATCAACACTTTCGGAGATGTTATTGTAACACTTTGCACAAACTGCATACATATCACCAGATAAACCTACATACTGTACACTGTCCAGCATAGTAGGGCTACGCCCTACCGGACAAAAAAACAATGGAGCGCCCGCTTGGAGAATTTCGTCTTTATCACTCAGTGGGTCACGGTCACGGTGGTTTATGTCGGTAAACCTTCACTGATGACGGGACTTTCGGCAATGCTTATAATATGGTCATGGGAGCCTTTTTCATTGGCAGCTTCATCGGCAGCTTGCTCTGCCTGTTTTTCGCTTGCGAGTCGCCTGCGCGTGCCTGCCGCAGACTCCAACCATAAAAGCTTGGTACGGCCCTGAAATTGATGTACAGTTTAACGAGGCGAAGATAACAGTAAGAACCGAACATACCTCTTTGAACTTCATGCGCACGAGCACCACGACTACCAGGAGCCAATAGAACACGTAACTCAGCACGCTACCCTGAGTTGCGGTATTTTCCCATCCCAATATGGCATTGAATATGCCCCATGACAAATCGGTCTCAGGATTGCAGCAGTCAAGATGCCACACATTCCCGCGTACGTCGTATGTACCAGGTCCGTTACCGCCTTCGTCGTCGACGTCAGCGCCAAGCAGATTGTTGAAGGCGTTCTCTTGGAAAGACCAAACGGCTTTACTAAATAGGCCAGCGCCGATGAGGAGGATCAAATTCGTCATAACGATAAGGAAAATCGTTAGAGCTGGTGCATAGTAGGTGAGCGTTGGTGTAACATGATGATCAGTGAAGGCTTACTCGAGCGGCTAGCGAACTGGTAAATGAAATAACCACAAATAAGTCCAACAGTAAGGCCCACGATTGCTGCGATGGGAATTGATTCTGCTGGCTGTCCGAGCGCGACACCGCCAACGAAGACGACAGCTTCAATTCCTGCGAAATGTTACACATTAGTTGAAGGCATTGTAACAACATTAGGTAAAGACATCCAGGGACAATACTAACCTTCACGCAAGACAGTAATCATTGGAAGGATGAAGAGTACCCACTTCCCAGTCCTTGTGCCACGATCGACATCTGATGGTGAAAAATAATTTGTAAGCGCAAGAACGGAGGCAAAAACAAGAGGAAGGACACAGACGTTGATCACTAAACGCGCGTTGTAGCTTTACGCGCCATTTAGCTTTGGCCCTGTCCAATTTGAGCATGGTGATGCCCATGACAAAAATCATCAGGGATGCAATAAGTTCGAAGATGCCTATTTAAGGATATAATGTGGGTCAGTTTCATTGCGCGACATAGGACTTTGGAAACGAGTGAGGATTTAAATGCAAAATACAGACCTTCCCAAAGATTTTCGGCCTTGACCCAGAGATCGGACGCCTTAGTGAACCAGACTGCAAAATGAATGCAGCACCCAAGGCAAATGAGAGGAACAAGCCTATGCCTGCACCAGCAAAAACCTTGTTGCTCATGAGTCAATGGCACTTTCAACATTACTACTGCAGTAACCTACCTGCATTCTAAGTTTACGGATCAAGCGTCTCTTGACGGTGACATCTGAGTCTCCTTCTCCTGGCACAGTTGTTTCACCGTTGTTGTTGACGGGTCGATGGTGCTCCGTAATTTGAAGTGCCGAGAATTGGTCTGTGTCGCCATGGACGATCTGCTCGACGAGGCCAAGGAGTACGGATACGATGATGACGGCTTCAAGTGATTCTCTGAAGACGATGAAGAATATGCTAACACTGAACAAATTCTGGGCTGTCATTGTCGTTTTTTCGTCCTTGGTACAGGTGCATACTAGATTTATCTGATGTGAAGCAGCGAACCTGATGCACCTGTCACCAAATCTTTCCAAAAACGGCAGTCTAATCAATGTTTTGATACCAGGGATTCGGTCACATTCAATTTCAAATTCGGTGGCTTATCAGATAAAACTGTACTCGACTCTGCTTCTAGAACCCTAGTTATCACTCGGATCTTACTCAGTTCCTGCATTAATCCCTGACTGGTCGACCATCAGAAATGGTTATGTCTGCGGCGTCGACACTATCAGCAATGTCCGACCCAGAATCCAGTGTGTCTGAAGTTTCCAATGGACAGTTGATGGACAGAACGGCGTGTACGACGTGTTCCAGGCGATGATATAATTATCTCGGTGAGATTGCATGTCAGGGAGACATGTAGATAAAGTATTATACTGTCCTTTTAGGTATGGTGGCAACCGTAGCTTGAGAGTGGCATATACACGGAGTTAGCAACCTCGTCCGACGGCCCGGGGTGCCAGTGTGTGCTAGTGTGTGACATTCCGAAAAATAGCAACTGGCACTTACAAAGGCCTTCTGTCAGAGTGTATCTCGGGCGTGATGAAACTGAAGAACACACCGGCATTGTCTATGACTCTATAACCTCGAAGACGAGACACCCGAGTCTCAGGTCGATGCCGAAGCTGGTGATGATAATGCGGACATCCCTTGGCAAAGTTATCGAGGATGCTCTGGGCGTTAATGTCCTGGCTGCTAATCCTGCAAAATATTGTGTTGCTGATGTACAGAGGGGCGATTTGCATGGGCCGGTGGCTGCGGGAGACTACAAGAATAGATGGGAGCAAGTTGACGCGTCGTAGTAGGAGCTCGTATTTTTTTGTTTTTTATTTTAAAAATTTGAATTTCGTGACATACTTTTGATTAGGAAACAACCCCCTGTGACGCGTCACCGGTGGGTGAATTAGCAAGGCGGCCAGAGCACTACAAGCAAGAAAGCACCGTCAGCATCGAGATCAGGCACTCTCTGAGAGCATGATATCGCCATGATACCATCGGCGGTGGTAAAGTAACACAAAAGACAGATCACGCACCACCTGAGAATGAATCATGGCCATGGCACCATCAGGATTCAGCTCATAAGCCAATATTACACACAATCTGGGAGCAGGATATCCTGTGGCACTGTGAGTATCATGGGTAGTACTACTCCTTTGTGCCAAAGTGCCAACTTAAGGGTACATACCAATTAAAGGACTTGAAAAGATGCGTCAAACGTTGATCTCGCGGAAGCAATTATTGTGTCACTCCACTGATTTCCACATGCATTCCACCACTCACTCTTACATCTATCATGGTACAGAACATTGGAGACGCACGAGATATCTATATCAGACCAGGATATTCGTTGAAGCGACGGCCACCAACTGTCCATGTCAAGAGCTGTGGCGCACAATATCAATGTCATCAGTGGTAAGAAGATGTCGAGCAGTTTTTGCCATGGCATCATTGCTGGTGCAGATGGCGAATGGATGATAGACGTCAGACTCGAGCTCGATCGATTATTGGTTGATGGTATGTACGTACAGCATTTAATTAACGTCATACGGCTGCCAGCAACCCTATTTGAATGACTAATCTCAGATCTGTCTTCTCATAACCCACCTGAGCATCGAATTCGGAGGATCGTTTTGTATGGTTTCTGGTATGGGCCATAGTACTTGTTGTATGCAGAATTCGTCTGACCTACGTCTATGAGAGACGGAGAATTTTGACTTATTGAACTGCAGCGCGTTGACGATTGATCGACCAGTCTGACTGCCGCCACCTAGATCGATGGGGTTATGGTCACGGATCATGATACAAACGACGACAGGACTTGGAACATGATTGACTCGATGTTATTATTATCAGGTCTAGTCTTCCATCCATTGATGCTAGCTAGACGCTTCTGGTACCATCAAAAAATCTGCCATTCTGCCGTACTGGTAGAACATTCTGCTAGTTCGGCCCGTCACTCTGCCGGCAGAACCTCTGCACACCACACTGTGGGTACCCTGTTATCACTCGGACCTTTTTTTTGTTCCTTCAATCACTGAGTAAACAAGGTCGTACCGGTACCGACATCACTCAGGGTTCGTGTCCGTACCTTGTTGGCTCAGGGTTTGTAGGAACCAAGTAAGGTCCAAGCGATAACAGGGTACCAATGAACCCTACTTGATGTGTGAAGCACTTCGCCACCGACCGCAAAGATCTTGGAATTTCAAATGGGCTTATCAGATACAATTTTCCGAATGATGAAGGGTCATCATCATCCCGGTAGTGGAATTCTTCCCAAACTACTTAGAGGCCAAGTAAATAGTTCTTCGTAACCCTTTGATTTTCCTCTGAGCACCGACTTTGAGCTAAATTCATATAGATATCGCTATCCTCGACCCGGCATTGACATGTCCTTGTCGTGCCGTCAGTTACTTCCCTTGCTTGCACTCTCGTCTTCTGCACTTGCGGGTGTACAGGAGCTTTGGTGGAACGTCACCTACGTTCAAGACGCAAATCCAGACGGCCTCTTTGAACGCCGTGTCATCGGTGTTAACGGAACTTGGCCGTAAGTCTCTCATATATCATTTATTTGGTCTGATGTATCTGACTTCTTAAAACCAACATTTCTATTCACTACGAAACCCCAAAAATTGGATCACATGCCTGTCGACTTCTTCGGTACTCATGAAGACCTCCACCAATTGAGGTATCCACGACAGATTCATTGCTTGTGCATGTAACGAACAGCATCGATCAACTTACAACACTACACCACCATGGCATGTACTTCAACGCAACATCCTGGATGGACGGAGCAATGGGTGTGTCACAATGGTATGCATACTCGTGTTCATTTGATTCTGCTGTGGCTACATTGCCTGCGCCAACTGTTCCCGTCTTTTGTTTGATGTCTCTGTACATGCACCTAGTATTTTGCTAATCATTTTTCTCGCGCAGTGGCATACCCCCAGGCGACACGTTTGACTACGTTGTACCCATCAACTCCTCCGGCCAAGTCGGAACATACTGGGCGCATGGTCATGCAAACGTAAGTAAACATGGTCTCTACCTTGCATACCTTGCTCTCTCGAACTAAATGCCGTATCTATCCATGCAGGGAATATATGTAGATGGCTTGCGCACGCCTCTCTTGCTACATTCTCCAAATGAAACTTATGGCGCCGATTACGATGCCGAGTTCACTATTTTGCTGAGTGACTGGTACCATGAAGAGCAGCCTGTCCTCTCGGCAGCCTTCATCAACATAGCAAATCCAGCGGGGGCGGAACCTATTCCTGGTGAGTTGCCTCGTCCTGTAGTTCATGGTGGTATACCGATGGCTTGCAGATTCTGCCCTCATATATTTCTCCCAAAATGGTTCCTACCTACCACCAATCCCGGGGAGTAACCCATCCCCGGTAACAAGCGCGGTGGGTTTCAACGAGAACGCGACCCTTCCGTTCGAGCCCGGTAAAACGTACAGACTGCGTATAATCAACTTTGGCGCGTTCGCGGGGTTCTACTTCTGGATCGACGGGCATGAAATGCAAATTATTGAAGCTGACGGTGTGCGTTTAGTTCTGCTTCTTACAACTCGCCGGTAGACTCATGTTACCGCAGACGGACACACAGGAGCAGTCCGTCGATATGCTGAGTGTGTCAGTGGCGCAGCGTTACTCTGTGCTTGTCACCGCGAGGAACGATACTACGTCGTCAAATTGGGCCATCCATGCGAACATGGATACAACCATGTTCGACACGGTTCCCAGTAATCTAAATCCAAGTAGGCTATACCCTTCCTGAGCATTCGATCCTATCACTTATTGTATTACCTTTCAAAATGCTTGCAGATCTCACCTCCTCCATCACGTACTCCACCTCTGCTAACCTCACTAATCTGTCCCCCGTGTCCTCCTATATCACGACAAACGACAGCGCTCTGGTTCCCATCGATATTGTGCCTGCGCTCTCCCCAACAAATACGCTTCAGCTTGCGTTCAACTTCGAGACGATGGACGATGGGACAAATCATGCGTTCATCAACGATGTGGTTTACAATTCGCCAGTGGTACCTGCGATCATGAGCGCACTGAGCCTGGGCGAAAATGCTACTAGCCTAGAGGCATACGGGCCGTACAGCTTCGTTATCAACTACGGAGACGTAATCGACCTTGTGGTGCAGAACGGCGATACAGGGAAGCATCCCTTGTGCGTCTTCTCTCCCCTGCATTCGGCGTTTGACAGAACTGATGTTATGTTCTAGCCATTTGCACGGATATAAGGTGCAGATTGTCAATAGAGCGACACAGTATAACTCCACCGATCCGTCATTGAACCCACCACTTATCGAAGGGCAAGCAAACCCGATGCGTCGTGACACTGTAACCATCACTGGCGGAGGTTCCGTCACGCTCCGCTTCGTCGCTAATAACCCCGGCGCATGGATTTTTCACTGAAAGTCTACGAACCCCCTTCAGGAGAGACACTTACTTACATCATTATCATTTAGGTCACATCGAATGGCACCTTGAATCGGGCCTTGCGGTCCAGCTCATAACAGCTCCGCTCCAGATACAAGAACAGGCACTGGGCCGCGTACCGGCGTTTATGTACGAACAATGCTCTGCACTTGGGGTTCCCTCGAGCGGCAACGCTGCAGGACACGCCAGCCCAACTGACTTGTCGGGCCTCCCGCTTGGCCCGGCCTTCCAGGTGCTCGGTTGGCTGCCTAAAGGCATCGGGGCAATGGCTGGGTGAGTTCGGGGCTGAGTAGTTGTTATGATATACTGACGATGCGGGGTGGTTGGTAGATGTGTGTTGACAGCCATCATTGGCATCCTTACTGTTGTATGGTATTCGGCTATGGGAGGTACTATCTCTGAGGAGGAGATAGAGGAGCTGGTGCGTCAGCGCATCGAGGAAAAGGAACGCAAAGGAAAGTTCTTTGGTCTGTTCAAGAAAAAGACTTGAATATCCGCGCCATTTGTCCATTATCCTCGGCCCTGGGTAACTAAGGCCCCGCCATGTTTCTCTCGCTTTTTTGTATTATTCGTGTACGATATTGACATGCTTGTTAAGTGGAATCCATGTTCTACCAATGTACTAACTTTGGTACGTGGCTATATTGTATTTCACTTACACTGCAACAAACAAGAAGAATTGATCTTTGCATCCCCTGTTCATACACACTCACGATCTTTGAGAGACCACACGACGACCGGTGAATCGTTCGTTGTGATGGTCAATTGTGCTCCCTAGTATTTAGCCTTTCTTGACGTCCCAGTGAAACATGTTTCCATCGACGGTGGGCCTGGTTGTCTGAGGAAATAAGGTCTGCAGTCACACACATGTTCACCCACCCAAAGGCTCAGATCTGACTCGGTACGGATCGTTGAAACATTCCTCCAACATCCTGTCGTCTTCCGGGAGGTGACATATCTACTAATGCCTTGGGTATGCTGCAGTCCACGTCACCATCGACATCATCGATGACCACTGGCAAAGCATGATACATCCATATTCTTTTGCCAGTGGCTATAAGTTGCAACTCCACTTTGCTGATATCAAGGATTATTATCCAACAAGAATTCGATTAGGTCTCGCACTCTGCTTTTCGTAACTAAGACTGGATGCATTGAATTCACTATTTCCCGCGTCGGCCTGACGCACATCGCATCCCGCAATCGTGTCGGACCTGGCGGCAACAAGCCTACGTGCGCAATCTGAAACACGCGAGCTCGAGAAACCAACATCAAATCTGTGCTGATATTGGGAGGAAGTCTCACGTGACCGCGAGAGCGCTGAAGATCTAGACAAACATTATGATAGGCGTTTTGGCTGAGCACCACCGTAAATTTCTCTACATATGTTTGATTTAGACCAACAGTCTTGCAAGCTCTTGGGATACAGCATGGCTCTTACATACAGTTCAAAGAGACAGTCATTTAAGAGAAGTACCTGCATCAAGTACTTACCACCCACTGAAAGCCGCGGCTCAAAGGCCCGGCTCGAGGTATCTGTAAGAGACCCTCGAGCCGGGCTTTAAGAGGCTTTAAGCCTCCATGAACCGTCCTCAAGGCCCGACCCGGCCTAAATAGATTCGCCCACAGCCGGGCCTCGCAATTACTACCGGTTGACAAAATAGACCAAGGTGCCTGGCGCGGCCCTAGTTGCCATCAAGTTGCCATCATCATAACGTTGCATTCACTTACATAGACCGAAGCTTGGCCTCAACTGGCCATGACCATGAGTATTCGAACCAGTACTGACGCGGTTCATGATATGATATTACTATTTGCTGATATGCCACTAACACGTAGGCGGCATGGATCGGCCAAATTGGAACACGTAGAATGCGCAGCACTATAAGTATCGGTACGTCTTGGAGTCATCTACTCGCCTATTTCTGCAAAGTTGACCGCGTGTGTTTGCCCTGCAGAGCTGTCTAGGCTACCATGACACTTGAAGCCTGAGATTGTGAGAAGGAGTCAAAAATCACGTCGGCTGATAGCATCGTGACTAACAGGCCGCCGCAAATTCTCAACCCCTCGCTTTTGTTGAATACTACCTCAACAGAATGTTTACTACTGAGTCGGACGTGGAGCAGATGTGAGTGATACACACATGAATTTACCATGTATCCTGATGTCAGTGACTGAATAAATATCTCTAGATTGTTGTGCACATATGCCGTCCTGGCGGGGAACAGTAAGTTTTAGCGCCTTTTATCTTTAGCACTTCAAGATCGTAACGATATTGTAGGTATCCTGATATACGACCATGTGATGACTCTACCAGAAGAAATTGCTTTAATCTGGCGTCGTCCAAAAGCACTGTTTGCAATGTTATTTCTACTCAATCGCTATCTCGCTCTTTTCGGCATTACCTGCAGCATGGTTATGCAACCATTTCTTGTTTCAGATGAGGTTCTATATTTCGTTATGCATGTACTCGACTTGTGTGTGCTCACAACTTCTTTCTGTAGGCGTTAGTTTCACTATGGTTCCTTGAATATCTGTTGTTTTGCTCAACAAAGACTTAGTTGTTCGAAATATACGATATACAGACAACTGGAAATCTTCTTCCAAGGAATCATCATATGTAGTGAGTAGAAGTTTACCACGAGAAGTTCACATGCTGAAAAGTTCAGTCATAATGGCCATGCGCATTTATGCTCTCTACGGCTGTAGCCAACGCGTCCTTGCCTGGATGACCATCACCATCATTGCTCTTGTGGGAATAGCTTGTGTACGTGTTTGCATAAAATTTTAGACTCCGGAGTCTACTAATCGTTCTAGGCCGTCACTTTTGCACAAGTTTCAGGTGATGCGGCAATCTTGCCGGGAATTGGCTGCTATGAAGTATATCCAACAGAAACGTATGTCATCCTCTTCGCCACTCTGCGTGCTTGCTCAAAAGTTATTGCAGAGCTGCCCGTCAGTAAATTCTAGGTCCTATTTCATGCAACTTGATTGTCATGACCTTATCCAAATACAGGAATTGGGCTGGCATGGGTGGCCCTGTTTGTCTTCGATTTACTTATATTCGTCCTCACAGTGTACAAGATTTGCATGACTAGGGGTTTGCCGCGGTTGTCTCTGACAACCAGGAGAAATGTTATTGATGTCATGTTTCAGGATGGTAAATCTTTCGTATGTCTGTATTATGAACGCTAAATCAATAGAACGCAGGTGTGATGTATTTTGGGTAAGGTTGCTAGTGAACTCATGATTCGACCGAATTTGATTCACATTGCTTCAGAGCTATGGCACTGATTAATATACCAAACATCCTGACATACTACGTAAGTCAGCAAATTGATATTGATGGAGCTACACGGCACTCACAGCTTGAATCAGTCTAGTTCAGTAAGAATACAAACTCGCACCTTACGTCGACCATTTCCTGACAATTAGCAAGGTTGCTATCAGAGGCAGTCTGTGCAATTTCACCAGCTGGTAAGTGTTCAATGCGACAAATACGAATCGATTTTAAATATGGCTTCCAGTTTATCCGTTACTCTCATCTCTCGGCTGGTGCTTAACCTGCACGAGACCACTGACACTGGTATTTTATCCACCACCGTCCGAGGCGACGACTACCACCTCGATGTCCTTACCACCAGGGTCGACGTACAGTCTGCTATCTCCTCTCATTATTGGTAGCTAGCATTGAATTCTGTGTCTGGATGTCAAGTTGGGAGTGAGAAGCTATTCCAATCCCTTTTTCGAAGGCAGCGCAGCGTGACAGGTGGTAGATGACGCTGCATCCCGTGCTGGCGGCTATGCGTGCTTTATTTATGTCGAATATTGTCGCTTCTGGCTAATTATTGGTTAATTATATCATGTGTGCTTTCGTCTGTAACGTTATAACCCCTGATCGCTCATCCTTCATAGACTTCACATAGACGGGCTGTTTCTCTCATGATGTGTGTCGTTGGGGAGATATTGTTCTTTGTTGGTGATGTTGAAGTTTCGGTGGTTGGCGGATAAGTATGTAGCAGGAACTGTCGCTCTTGTTCCACCATCGTATACTAAGAACGAGGTGCTTACTCCCGTTGAGCGTGTCTAGCACTGTCCAACTCCCCGAGTCAATTATCTAGGTAAACGTATTTTCGACTTCTTGAGTTCAAATCCCGTGTAAGCTAGAACATGTTCCACAGTTGGAAGGACTAAGATTGGAAGTCTGTAACATTGACGCGGTGCACTAATGCCGCGCTGATCTCAGCGCGAAGTTTAAAAATCGTGTTTTATTTTTCCATAAAGTCATGGCATAGAGGAAAAAGTAGCATAGGGCATAAGGCAGCATGGGAACTAAGGTAAAAGTGGCATGGGGGGTATCGTAAAAGAGTGACAACGGTTGGAGTAATATATGTTGAAGGAATGACGCGGGACGGACGATAAATAAGACAGAGAAAGGAGAAAAGGGTGTATGAAGGAGTGACATGGGTCGGACGATAAATAAGAAAGTGTCGGAAGTCAAAGTCATAAAAATGTCATAAGGTATAAAAGTCATAAGATGAGTCGTGGACGAACCAGACATGGATATCATAAAGTCCCGAGTGAACAATGTTGCGGATGGAGTTCCGTTCGAGGCAAAGTGTCGGTGTGGGCAAAAAGTCGTAATGTAATAGGCTGGAGCTGCGTGTAAACCGTGATGTGCGAATGGCAAAGTCCGGGTCAGAAATAACTTTGGAATGGGCTGGAGCTGCATATAAACCGTGGTGCGCGAATGGGCGAAATCCGGGACAGAGATAAATGAATAGGCTGGAGCTGCGTGTAAACCGTGGTGCGTGAATGGGCGAAGTCTGGGGCAGAGATAATGAAATAGGCTGGAACTGCATGTAAACCGTGGTGCGCGAATGGGCGAAGTCTAGGGCAGAGATGATGAAATAGACTGGGTATGGAGCTGCGAGTAAATAGTGATGCGTGAATGGGGCAGTGCAGGCCCTCAGGCTTCCAGAGTCCGGGGTAGAGTGAAAGAGTGACCTGGCGGGCTCGAGGCTTGGGAGAAGAGTGAGATGTCGGAGAACATAGAGAAAGATAAAATGGGTATAGAAGGAGCGACTTGGGTAGGACGATAATAAGAAAGAGAAAGGTGAAAGGGGTATATGAAGGAGTGACTTGGGTCGGACGACAATAAGAAAAAGAAAGGTGAAATGGGTATACAAAGGAGTGACTTGGGTCGGACAATAATAAGAAAGTGAAAGGTGAAAGGGATATATGAAGGAATGACTTGGGTCGAGCGATGAGAGGAAATGTGAAACGGAAGGCGCATCCGTGATCCGGTAAATAGAGCGACAGCTGTTGGACGAGAGGTTTGGGGCGTAAATAGAGAAAGAACGGGAAGGTAGTGACGCATACGTCATCTAGTAGAAAGAGCGACTGCTGTCAGACGACAGGCTTTGGCTGATGTTCAGTGAAAAGACAGAATGGAGGTGGTGATGCATCCGTCATCCAGTAGAAAGAGCGACTGCGGTCAGACTAAAGAAATCATGAGAGTTGGATTGAGGTTCAGAGAAATCGAGGAAGACGAGACTTACTGATGCCACGCCATCGAGCTTGAATGCAGAATCACCGCACGTCGTTCATTATGCTTGGAGTGTCCGACGTGGAATGGGTGCATGTGCAGCGTAGCTAGACGAGCGGGTATAAGGGTAGTATCGAACAGAGGCCAAAGGGTGCGGTGGGTGCGCATGAAGGTCCATATTTGAGATAGAGGCAACGCCAGCGAGGGCGAGATTCGAGAGTGAGCGAGAGAAGGATATTTTTAATCAACGCGGCCAACGTTGAGCTTTTCTATCTTCTGGAAAGAGATGTGATAAGGAGATTCTGTTGGCGTAGGGCGGTAACTCACTTTCAAGCGGAGAGGGGAGGGACAGATCTGACATTGCTTTACCAACGGCGCACGTCATTGGGTTAGCGAAAACGACGAGGAAGCCAGACGATGAGAGATCAAAACGACGAGAGAGCTAGACGAGATAGCAAGCCGGCGAGGTAGCGAGAGAGCAATAAACTGAGAACAACAAATGATCAGTGACAAAGACAACGAAATATAATCGTCAGATGTGACGATGAAAGATCGTTGGCACTCGGGGGAGGTCAAGGCTGATAAAGAAGAGAACCTCTGGCGGGTAGGTATTTATACTTTTTGGAGTATCGGCCTCTCGGCGGGACCCAATGCTGCCCTACGTCACAGTGCGGAGTCATGGGCAAATATTGAACTGACAGTGGACAGCGACTGACGCGCCCGCCGGTATCAGCTTCCAGTCAGCCTCAGGTTCTCAAGTTTGCGGATGACTTACTATAATCTGGGATCATGCATCATTCGCAAGAGCGGTGACTTGTGAGGAAAACTAAGAACTTTCAAATGTAAGGAAAAGGTTGACGCTGACATAGACGCGACGTGTCTAATAGATCACGTGCTAACATGAAGTTAAATAAATGTTGTAGCCAACTTTAATCCCTATCCCCTGCCATGAACCGCAGTTTTGACTCTTACTTTGGACCACCATCGCAGCCCATCAATGTCGCAGAGTTTTTACAGCAAGCAAACTCTGAACTACTATCAGAATCCTTTACAAATGCCTCATGGGAGCAACTAACTCCCGAGCATAGAAATGCCGTCGAAGCAGAGATTAATGAAAGGTACTCCTCTCCCCAGCTATACCGCATTAGCGCTCATTGCACATCAGCGTAGTATTTCAGACCTCAAGTCAGTCTCTTGATCAAGTATGGGACAACCCTGTATTGTCAGCGCACGTACGGCGCCAACACGAGTCTACAGTAGCATCCGTGCGCGACCAAGCGGATGTACCGGCACCAAAAGGAAGAAAGCGCAAACGCGATATCGCTCCAGAAGGTAGCGAATCTACCCCAGAAGTACTACAACTACAAGAGGAGCTTGACGCTGTCAACCTCAGATGTTGGGGGTATGTATTTCTCCTTGCATATCACTCTTCTCTTACCTTTATGCAGATTAACCGTGGAGTCGGCGCTTTGTATGCGTGCTGCTAAAAATTCTGACTACAACGCGCTTGACGCACCCAAGAAGATGGGAACAGGCATCCTCCATACCCTTGATCACGGGGACGTCGGCGCAACACGTAGCTCGACACCAGACTCCCTCAGGGGCCACAGCCCCGATGTAAATTCACATCCAAACGCTATCATTTCGCTAACAGTTTATAATCGCATTACGTATCTTCCAAGTTGCCTGACGCGCTCCTCACAATACGCCGTACTGTCAACGCAAACATTGGCTGACCTACTGCGCGTCCTGCCGTGCGCCTCCAGTAATATACCAATAGAAGTGTTAGATGCCGAGGGAGATGTATCAGGCTATAATGTCACCGATCAAATAGGGGAGCATGCCGGGTGTTTGTTCTGCATCGAAGACCTTGTCTACGGAGACGGGAGAGAAACCGCCGATTACGCACAGTATGTCAGAATAACACCGCCGTTAACAGATCTTTAACCGCTCTTCTACAGAAAACTAATAGCCCACTTCCACAAACTCCCCGAGGACAAACGTCCGCAAATAAAAACAGCACCGACCTCTGCCAGTGAAACTACCTTCAACGCGCTCACACTGAGAACCCACCAACCTTACTGGATACTGCATCAAGGCAACTGTGAACATTTCTTCGTCATCGACCAGATTAGGCATGCACCATTCCGTTTTAACTCCATAAAATCCCTGAATATCATATACAGACTCCCCCACGCCTCAGATCCACTATCAGGCTATCCATTGATGCTCCACCTCACTCCAACGGTTCAAGATCTCTGCCGTGCCTGTGGGAAAGTCCCAGCCGTACATTCTATTGTGGGTGACATGCGTCTCGGTGAAAGTCCGTGCCTCTTGTGCGCACCTTGTTGGCGCATGATGGGTCCTCCCAAAAATGATGAAGGCGTGATGGTTGTACCCCTCGTAATACCTTTCGTAAATCACTAAAACGATCGAGACCCGAACATGCGCGTATGATGTAGGTTGCAGCACACAAAGGACCCTGAAAATTGATGGGCCAAGGTCGATAACTCAAAAGGTCAAGGTTCAGAACAAACGGCGATCAATGACCTTGAATGACGATTCGGATTGAATCATGAATCATGGCTTTTGGCCGCTTCTATTACGTACGTTGCTAGGTATGATAGTCAAATGATAGTACATGAAGTGCAAATATGTGCAAATACGCATGCGATGCCAACAGGAGATCACAGCATCTCAAACGAGCGATATAGTAGATCAGTGAGTAGTCTGTGGGTATGTGAACTACAGAATCCAAGTGAGCCCCAAAGAGAATGAGAAACAGTGCGGACCTCAACCGTCAAAAAACAAAGTGCAATTTGCGATCGAGGTGTCTACGACCACCTCACCAATCTGTTGCTGGAGGAAGTCCCATGAATTTGGTCCCCAGCCTATCCAGCCATATGTCCATGTATCAGAAACGTAATTCAGTAAGAAGTTCCGGGCCAAAGTCGGATTGAATGGATCCAAAGAAGAGGCAGTGCCTTGAATCACTGACACAGTGCCTAGTTTTGCATTGGCTTGAAAAATGCCCTGAAAGTACTGATCAAACATGACATAGACTGGACCAAGGTCATTCTCCATGCGCAACTTTATAGCTGTTGGTGGTGATGTCGGATCGTGTATGAAGCTCGCCGTAGCTTGGCCATAAAAAGTACGGATATTTGCAACGAAGTTTGGACGCTGGGGAGGACCTGTGTTGGGCGCGTTCAGTATGACGTTGGCCGTCAAGTTGCTAAAAAATGGTGTTTGGTCGAGAAAAAAAACTTTGAATCCATGAGCCACGAACCTATTGCCAGTGTTGACTTCAAAATATGTTGGGAACATCAAGTCAGGATCATTGAAGAGGGAAGCGTTAATATTGATAGGACTACAAAAACATATCAGTCGCATGTTTCCGAAAATGAGAAGAATACATACGCTTGTATCGTGCTCACAGAAAGGGTGCGCGAAGCCGCAAACTGACCGAAAATTGACTCTAAGGATGTTTCAACCAGTATATGGTTGGCTTCGAGAGACTTGAAGCAGATGAAAAATGAAAATAAATGAAGGCATAGATGCATAACCACTTACACCGACAAAAATTCTGGAAATAGGACCTTCTATAGAAACTCTCCCGAAATTGACATAGTCGCCAAAGTTGTCAAACGTTTGGGCGAACAAAGGTAGGTAGGTAGCAAAAGTGTCGACTTGAGCAGCTATAGGTGATTGTGGGTACAGCAGCGTGATGTTGAAGAGCAGTTGATCGTTCAAGGACATGTTATCTGGTATCTGTTTCATGTCAGCATGTGATTCGCTGCAACGGAATAACGCCACACACATAAATAGCAAGGCCAGTAGCGTTGTTCGACAATGCAAAGCAAACCAGTGTCTGGTCGAAGAGGTCAGCATTAGATGCTTGCATCTTGACCGATATGGTTGTATCGGTCACGGAGGTGTTGTAGTTTATGCCGACGAATAGATCACCCAGGACGACATTCATGTTACTCGTATACGATGCATTCGACGTGATGCTGAATCGACCATTGGATGATACGGTATTTAGAACCCTAGGAAAGAGAGTCATGATTGTTCCCCCAGGGAATGAACGTGGACTTACTCTCCAACAATAGAATTTTGTGCATCGTCGAGTTGTCCGGTAGTTGACCATGCGTTGCAAACAGGTGAAACTCCATTTGCAGGGGAGCTTGAGAAGTTGTAGATATCCGTGACGAAGTGCGATGAAGTGGTCTTTGGTACCCAAGGAACGACATAGTTAGAGGTGTAAAATGAGTTTTCGTATTGTTGATATTTCTAAGTAGTGTGAGAATACAGGTAACACACGTACGAGAGAGATACTAACCTTGACAATGATGGGGATGCCAATAACGATTGAAAGGAGGATATATATTCCCAAAGCGATTATGCCAGCCCTCCAGGACCTAGGAGTCAAGACAGCGCCGCTTTGGAGGAGGTTTGTAGAGGGTGATCAAGGAGTCGTTGTTCAGAACATTTGAAGCCAAGGCCTGTGAAGTTTCATAGTCAGGTAGAGGACTGAATGGACGACGGCCTGCCGCGCGGGGTGGATAACGAAGGGCGGAAGTTGTGACGGGGGGATCTTTCGAATTTAGGAGGTCGTCTTCGTCCTGTATTATCATCCCTTCGAATTCACATATGGCATCGACGAAGGCGAAGGCGACGAGAAGGACAACGATGCGAAAGGGAAAGGTGGTTACTTAGTTGGGCGTGAGAGTTCGCTGCATTACCAACGGATTTCTTAACATTACGTAATAACACTGCATTTCAGGGCAATGCGCTCAAACCAGACTAGAAGATTCGATGATCGATCAACACCCGACACCGACATCACTGGAAATTTGATCGCACTTCGAGACTGAGTATCAACCCCGAAAGTAGATATGACAACCGCATCGGTCTGACAATATTTAGAGCTGAAGGTGTAAGCACGCTGGCTTACTAGAGTTCCCATAAGATACTGAAACATAAGCGCTAAGCTTTCAGTATCACTGCCTTTTGGCGTAACAGTTAAGGGACGACAGTCTTAACTAAGTTACAGAAGGGCGGGACAGTCCCGTGCGTGTCCCACTTACGTTTAGGAACCTTGTATTTACACAACGCTCTCTTGTGTTGGTCCTTGTATAAATATATCAATATTCAATGTGCATCGGTATATATATATATCATCCAACGTTGCGAGTTGCACACCGGAATATGAAATGAAAAGCTAAGATCATATTGCACAATATATGGGGCGCAACGGCATAGAGTATCTAACTACCCGCTCGTAGAAAAGTATTTAAAACGCCAGGAGGTCAGTTGAAGACCTGACGTAAAGTCAAGACAAAACATGATTCGGTTGTTGAAACCAGGTGTACTCAATGAAAAAACGGTAGGCGTTTACCAGATACGAGTCTCCAAGAGCAGGTCACTGTTACCCTCGAGCCCAACACAGGCCTTCAGGAAGCTCTCGAGCGCGTTACGCTGCCTGCCGAGGCTATTGATAACATCGGTACCTGAGGGCGCCCATTAGCGTAATGATGGACTATAAGTGGAACCGGTGCTCACCAGGCTTTACGAGAGGCGCCTTGCACATGTATGACAGCAGCGACAAGACAGCGTGGAGGGGTGCAAAATCAGTCTGACCCTCTCCGCGGTACTTGACGCGAGTAAGCAGCTCGGTAAGGATAGTCAAGTCGAGAATCAACGGTGTCGCAAGTAGAGAGTCCTACAACAGCATTGAGCATCTGCTGACATATCAAAAATGAGTTACATACCTCACACTCGTTGAAGATATTGATGGTTTGTCTCCCGCCACAGAAGATCTCAGAGTAGTACTCGTCGATTGCTCTCTTCGAGTCACCGACTGCAGGCACATACTTAATCACAACAATGTGATCAGGGTGCTCGCCTTTGGCCGCTTTGCCCGTTGCACCCAGAACAGGAGGTTTGTAGAGTAAACGATTGGCGTCTACCATATCATCCACAACGCTGCTCTTGCTGATTTCCTTACTCTTGAACTGCGGTTCCGCGCTCAAATTATGCCCATCATTGTTGCCAAGATGGTTGTACGACGCGATAGAGAGCGGTTTGATACCAGCGTTCACGAGGAACTCCGCAAGCACGGATTTCAGCTTCGTTTGACCAGACTTCAGGTCATCACCGCCAATGAAAGACTTCTCCCGCTCAGCGAGGGCAATGACACCAGGCACGAATGTGTTCTGAGGGGCACCGTTAACGAATGGCTCGCCCTCGAGAATGGCAGCAACAGCGAAGAGCGTCGAGGGAGACACCTCCGAGTGCGAGTTCTTGATCGCAGCAAGGATGTTCTCAGCCGTGTCATTAACACCAGGGATGATGTCACTGTAGCGTTCCGTATTCGCAGTCCAGAATACGACGACACGGTCAAGCTGGTTCTCGGCTTTGAAGCGGCGAATGTCAGCACGAATGTGCTCGAGATGAGCCTGCTTATCGGTGCCAGGGACGACATTGTCCGCACGGGCTTCCTGGTTGGCAGCAATGAAGTCGGGATAGTAGATAGAAGGAAGGGGACGACCGAGTAGAGCCATGTGCGGCTTGACCTGGCGCTGAAGATCATACTCAAGCACCTTGGCACGTTCCATCGCCTTGTCCATGGGCAGGCCAGAAATATCCCAGCCACCAAGAACAAGGTCGTTGGGGTGCACCATGGGAAGAACGTCAGAGATGGGGACGTGAACTTCCTTGCCGGTGCTCGGCTCAGTGCCAATGCGAACGGTAGATGCACGGAGGACAGAGCCAATGTAGTTGGGCTGCTGAATTCCCTCCTTGGTGTGCCAGGCTATCTGGTGCCTGTTTGCGATGATGGTCGCGCAGAGAGTGGAGCCATTGTTACCACCCAAACCGATCATCATAAGTCTGTTGTGCGTCCATGTCAGATGATAGTACATTTCGCAACCGATAAATAACATACCCAGTCTTGCCAACCTTGCGGGTGGTTTGGAACTCATAGGGCTTGACAGTAGGCAAAATAGTGAACTGGCCGTCAGAGACCACGACATCAGCACCACGGTTGAGGTACTTTGCGGTGATATGATCGTCGGTGTAGACGGTATTTTCCGACTGGACGGTAATGTAGTTAGGGCGACGAACGGCAGTCGGGTGAATCGGAACGATAGACTCCAATTCAGAGTCGGGGGTGTTGTAACCCGAAGAATTTGTGGCGGGAAGTTGAGTAGACATTGCTGTGAGTATATATACGGAGTGAAATTAGACCAAAAACAATGAAGACGAGTTCAATGAGCAGCTAAAAAGCCTGCGCAGGAGTGCTTGGAGCCTCGGTGGGGGTTGTGGGGACTACCGAGTTGGTTCGAGTACATGCAAAGAGCTCGGGAAACTCTGAGTATGAGGGTGTCTGACACCAGAAGCTACGATGAAGACGGCTATGTGAGTGGTTGGAGCTAAAAACGCTGGAGAAAATATGAGTGAATGCTTGGGGTTTATATAGGCAAAAATGGGGTGAGAACAACCTCGAAGGAGGGTTAGAAGATGGCCGTTAAAGAAAAAGAGGGTAAGGGACGAGCAAACATGGCAAGCGTGAAATTTATTGCGGTCAAACCTCATTGATCCCGAATGACAGCACATTTAAGCGTTATCTTGAAAATGCTGGAATGGATTATGGGAACAGCAGATCTTGTACGTTTTATCTTCGTTTGCCGCATCAGTTTGATCACGGCGAAAGGACCCAAAAACGTGTGTTTTGGAATCGAAGCTGTTCTAACACAACAGCCTGTATTATGGTTTTAGTAATTTATAGTACTCGTTACTACTAGTACTACCGATAATTTACTATTACTATAACGTTCTGCGATTATCATCACGGACTCCACGCGCGCGTAAACCCTCGGAGCATCAACGCGACATTTCGGAGACTAGAGGGACTACTAGTAGTATTAGTAGCAGATCAGAAGGCAAATCAGATCTAACTTGATTTGTTTGACACGCTAAGGGCTGCAAGAGGGTGATAATTATAGGAAGAATATCGTCATGCGCTGTCACCATCGTCCGTGTGCGGTCGTTGAACGTTGAACGTTTGACATTATATAACTTGGCGAAACGTTTCAAACCTCAGGCCTCAGGCCTCAGCGTTCAGTTATTTGCGGAGACCATCTTTACCCATTGACTAGATTAGCAATATCGACTTCCACTCTGAGTGCACAGGGCAAGTATCAGCGCTCTCGATCGAGTCTTCTGCAGGTGTCTGTTCAGGTCTGTTCCCTGCAAAGGGTCACTAATGTCATTGTGTGCAGCCCGTATTAGCGCGTGAAACGGCTGCGGCCCTCAGTCACCTCGCCAGGGTCATTACACTGTACGTTCAGGGGTGCAGGATGCGAGTTCTTTGGATGATAAGGTAACTCCATCTTCACATGTCCCCCAATTCCCTTGGTCCGCCACCAAGAGCAGGTATCTTGTCTCTGCATCGATCAATACCGGTGTCACATTGGCTATTGGTCTACAAGTGTCGATGAAGCCCCTCCACTAGCTAGTAATCTGAGATGGGATACTGCATTGATGAGCGGAGTAATCAAGAGAATCACTCACTGATATAAGCATCCGTGCCTGCATTCAATTCGCAAGGTCTTATCAACATGGTCGATGGCCTATCTGTCGATATTGAAATACTTCCAGACATCAAACATGATTCCGCGCCAGTAGACACAGTTACCACAAGTGGTGGCTGCTGAGTATCGATACCGAAGGGAAGGTGGCCTGGCGGGTACCATGAAGATAATAGGAAGTGTCATCTCCAACCAAATGAAAGCGAAGCAATACACGATATTGCTTATCACAATGATATTACATCTCGTATCATTCGTCCTAAGGTGACTCTGTATTAGATTAAAACAGATAGGTCCGGATAGTTCATAATTCTGTCCGCAACGGAAACATGGCATCATGTAATTGCTGCCATATCCGCGAGAATATGCTAAAGCAAGACAGGGTGTGTTTCTTGCACCTCCGTATTAATTGTCGGAGGTAGCGCTGTATCGTCTCCAGGGATATTGTGTAAGAGGGTGAAGGAGAGGGTGGATGAGGGGTATGCAGTTTTGTAGGCGTTGATGCCTGCGTTGACTCGTGCGGAGGTGACTTCCGTGGCTGAGGCAGCCTGTCAGCGTCGCAGCAAGAACACAACAAAGAACATACATTGCCAAGAACAGCCCTTTCAGCTTCTTCAATGAGGTGGCTGGCATCGGATTCGCCAGTCTTCTTCCACATATCTCGGAAGATCTCCACGGCCTGCAAGCTCTCGCTGAAGCGATGTAGCGTATTAATCAGGGCAACGACTTCTGAACGCTGTAGAAGATTATGATTTTTGTGCGGACTGATTTGAAGGAGGTCAGTTCATGCAAAAGATATGTGTTCACTACCTACTCAAGGGCAGTCTCATCCATCTCAAAGAGAATTTTGAGCGCGGTTGCAAGACCGGTAGTTTGGACTTTGCCCCATAAACGGCACTTGTCACATCCAACGCAGTCCATGATCCTTGAAACGTTCCGGAAATGCATCTTGAACTCCTCTTTCAAGATCTGGAAGGACAGACAAAATTTCAGCGCATGAATATTATTTTAAGATGTTGCTCACGTTCGCGTTCTCGCCTCTGAACAATACCCGCTCGTCAAACTTACCAACATGCTCTGCAATATCGATGACCTTGCTAAGAGTCGTAAGTGTTGTGACTTCTTCCTGGATGTCCTCCGCGAGCACGTGGTCAAGATGCGTGGGCATAGACATTGGACAGTAGTCGTAGTCACGTAGGTATGGACCAATGCGCGATACAGCACGTAGGAGGAGCACAGCGTTGAAGTAAATATATTGAAGTCTCTCAGGGTGAGAAGCGATGCGGGTAACGAAGCACTCAAGGTTCGGGCCCTGTCACATATGATGAGCTAAGAGTAGTGAAATTCAACTGGACTGCGTACCATCTCTCCAGTTGTTTGATTAAGGTATTCTAGGCAGATATGAGTTGAGATGGATGCATGCAACCCAGATACAATCTTGTAATACACCCTCTTCTCAATACATTCACCATCTGCGTTTTCCCCGTTAATAGGCTCTCGTAAGACATCGGTAAGGGTGTCAGGAAGTGTAACTTGTGCCGGAGAACGAGAAGTCAGCAAGTTCAGCTCTGAAAGGCCGAAGCAATTTTCCTCGTATATTGACTTCCAGACTCGATGCGCAGAAGGACCTGAGTAACCCGTATAACGCTCGGGGACTAGCGTCAGGTCGACGTATTCGCCCTCTGCAAAAGAATCATTATACGTGAGAACTAGAATATGAAATGCGCACCTGTCATATCATCGAGGAAACAAAAATCAGAATCGCGATAATAACATCCAGGAAGACGGACACGCTGTACAGGTTATGAAAACGTCGTCTAACAGAATGCATGGAACCTACCTCTTCCAGAGGTGGTAATTCTATTTTACTCAGAGCCGCCGCTCTCCACTTTTCTGGTATCTCGCTCTAGAATGGAACTTCTTAGTGAACTTGAACGAGATTATTAATTGGGCATACCTCATCTACTGTAGTAATACCACACTCCCTATTCATACAGAACCCATTCTCTTGCCAGAAAGGGCATTCACGATAGAGGTCCGCCTGATAAACGATTGAGTGGTGCTCGAAGCTGTCCGAGCCTGGAACGTACCTGGAAATACTTAAAGAATGGCATCTGCACTAACTCACTGAGCGTGCTATATAGTTCCCCATTCACACTCTCTATCGTCTCGTAATCACATAAGGTGGTTTCTATCGGACCAGTTGTCTACGAAGACACGTGGATGAATGATGTGTCAAGTCGTACACGTAAGTACTACATACCGAATGTTGACAGAGTGGTTCTCCGCGAGCAGACTCGTGTTCAAGAACGTTCTGAACTGGATTGTGCCGTATAAGGCTGTCCCCGAGAAATGAGCTCGGGCTGACGCCTACAGCGGCCAAGGCGGAGAATGCGAGAGCCAAATATGCTCTACGCCAGAGACAGAGCATGTGAAGAGTCGGGAGTCTGAGAACCTGTGATGGTGGAAAATATAGCTAGAAGGCCAGTAAAGAATGTGGTGTGCACTTTGAAGTTTGTGTTGCCTTTGTCGTTAACTGGGACTCTGAAAGTGATGCTTCATAAGTAATCGCGATTGCAAGTTCCACGTCGGATATCCCTATGTGAGTCACGTGAACGGAAAAATCACGGACTCAGAGTACTACTGTGTACTGGTGTTGACGTGCAATTAATATGGCGTTCGAGTTAACGTTCTGACCCTATGATACGAGCCTCGCACTCCAAATTTCAAAAGAGCGATAAGCATTCATCTTATATACCTACGGTGAGCCCACTATCAGAACATCTACTGTCCTACGGAGAATATATGATCTATGGAGGACAGTACTACTACGGGCCCACAATCTGCCCAGTGCCCTGAACGAATCTGCGAATACCCTGGTATGGGGCGTACCCCTGCTGTTCCCGCCGGCCATTTTAGACGCGCGATTCGTCGAAGATGAGATGACTTGGAGTACGTATGCGTGAAGTGAGTAGCTACCAATGAAACTGTGAAACGCATACTTACGCCACATTGTGATCAGGTACTGCTACTTAGGTTCCAGCCTTGACAGAGTATGGCTGTGTGCAATGGTACAGGCACCTCGGGCTCTTCTACTACTGCACTAAAACGGCGCTCGCCTCCCTCAGAGTCTTCGAAGAACACCACAGTAACGCTCGTTCACAGCATTCTCGCAGAATGGCAAATGAGCTTTCACCGTGTCATGGGACAGGACTGAGGATCTGAGAACGAAATAGGGTGTGACACGGGTAGGGTTTGCCCGGGTACCCGCCCGGGCAACACCCGCGGGTGACTCGGGACAGCATGTAGTTGTTATGTTTCGATGAACGAAACATAACAGCTACATGCTGTCTATCGTGGTTTCAAGTTCACTGGATGATGGCATCGGCAGAAGAGTGCTGAAGTCTTCCTCCCGGACACCGAAAGTGGACACTTGTTGTGATTATAACTACAAAACTGTATTACAAATTGTACAACACTCGTGAGCTGAGGGAGACCTCAGCGAACCTGAGTCCCCTGCGGGCCATTCTGCGTCCGAGCAGTACGTATCATAGTATCGTAATATGCGGGAGCTTGTTGTTAGCTCCATAAGTAAATTATGGAAGCGATATTCAAGGGTTCTATCGATATGAAAGTACCTGTAAAATGCCTGGAACGTTCAACAACGGATCTCTGGGCACTTCATAAAGTGGGTGAAGAAGGCTCTGCGGCATGCGGAGACGACTCGAGTCAGCAACGCGTGCACAAGACGCTATTTGCACAGCTTTGAATTGCATATAACCCAAGCCAACTCTATGCATCATTGTCATCATGATGTCGCTGTCCCAAGTATGCGGAATCGGAATCCTCTCGGTGCTTGCTCTCTGGAAGATCTTTTGGGGCTCATCGAGAAAATACAACATCGACCTTGATGGCCCTAAGGAAGCCCACTGGTTGACAGGTTCTTGACCGTGGTTACACTCCTTTTATCATACGTCTGACTTTGGGATGCCAGGGAACGTCCGGACAATGTTCGAAGGTGGCCTTGACTACTGCGTGAAAATGGCTGAACACTATGGCGGAGCGGTCAAGCTACAAAGTCTATATGGAGTAAGTTCAGATGTGAAGTGTTGTTGCTCTGAAACATCCTTGCGAATGCTGCTCTCTTCAGGAAGTAGTGTATCTATCTGATCCACTGGCGTTGTATCATGTTATCGCAAAAGACCAGCATATCTTTGAAGAACCTGATGTATTTATCATGTCAGTGTTGTATTGCTCTTTCACGACTGCATATATTGACTTCGCGTCATAAAGGAACAACAAGGTGATGTTTGGAGATGGTCTAATAGCCACTATCGGTGCGAGGTATTATGGTAGGGGTTCATGAGAGGTATCTGACAACATGGATAGGAGAGCAGCATCGAAAGCAACGCAAGCTGCTCAACCCTGTCTTCTCGACCTCGAACATGCGAGAATTACTACCCACATTGCAACACATTGCGCACAAGCTGACCTCTATCGTCATATCTAAGCTTCCGGATGATGGATGTAAGTCACTTCACACGCAAAAAATACACATCGACATGAGCGGATTTTATTCAACTCTCCTAAACAGCATACAAAGAGATCGACGTGCTGCCTTTGCTATCTCGCAGTGCACTTGACGGCGTTTGTCAGGCGATTCTTGGTTATCCAAGCAATACTCTAGACGCTGGAGAAAACGACGAGTATACTGAAGCACTTCGGAAGATGGGGTACGTGGTATGAAATACAGCATTCCTCTCACGACGGTAGTGATCTTTGACTTGATGTTGCAGGCCCCTGATATCAAAGCTCATATATTTCCGGCCAATTGTGCCAGTAGTTATGCGCAACTTCTCGTCATACTGGATAAGGAAGCTTGTGAATTTGGTCACGACACCCTGGATTCCTACTGAACAGATGAAAGATGTGCGAGAGATGCGACGAATCATTGAACTCATGGACAGCGGTAGCAAGAAAGCTTTCGCGGAGAAAAAGGCAGCACTAGGAGACTCCAGCTACTTTATCCCCCATTGATGTGCAGTCTGAAATTGATGATCTCAAACCGGGTCGGAGGAAAGATATGATGGACATCATGCGTTAGTTCCATAACGTTCTGGTCCATTTGTTACTGAGTTATACACAGTCAGGGCAAACTCTGCGTCTTCCAGTTCAGAGCAACTCACCGATGCGGAGCTGTTGGGACAGATGAAGTAAGCCACCTGCTCACTATAAACATGAAAATACTCTAACTCGTTTCATTGCAGCGTTATGGTATTTGCTGGCCTAGATACGACCACCGCTGCTCTGTCTCGTTGCGTTTACCTACTTGCCAAGAACCCACTTGCCCAAGCTCGATTGAGAAGCGAAATTCGTGATGCCATCAAGCCTATGTCCCTCGCACAAGACGGTTCTTCATTTTCCGAACACGACGATCCACTTCTTCACCTGTCCTATGATACGCTAATAAATCTTCCATTCCTCGACGGAATTGTCAGAGAGACATTGCGGCTTTATCCTTCTCTCCCGCACATGGGCCGAAAGTATGTCGTTCATTATCCCTAGAACTATTAATTGAGTATATCGATAGAGTACTCAAGGCAACTACTCTTCCCCTTCAATTCCCTGTTCGTTCGTCATCCGGAGCAGAAATATCTTCCATTGCGGTACATGAGAAAGCGCTCATTGTCATCTCTATTTTAGCTGCAAACCGCAATCGAACTATGTGGGGTGATGATGCGAATGAGTGGAAGCCTGAGCGATGGCTTTCTTCCCCGGGGAGACAATATGGGCCAGGGACGGATGTATCCTCTGATGGTGCCGATGTACTGTCATCGAAGCTATCCGCACCCATCCTTGGGGTCAAAGACGGCATGAGGTATCCTGGTGTTTATTCCAACATGTCAGTCCTTATCTGTTAGGTCATAGCATAGTACGTTCGCTGACCATAAGCAGGATGACTTTCCTCGGCGGCAGTCGTTCCTGCATGTTAGTCAAATGCAGGCCATCCGATTACCTGCGTACTGACGTCATATCTACAGCGGGTTCAAGTTTGCCGAAATGGAAATGAGTAAGCCCTTGCACGTTGCGTATGGCTGTCTAGTCTAACTGATCTCGACCCATCAGAGCAAATCATCGCCGCGCTTGTACTTCGTCTGCATTTTGTGCTCCCAACAGATCCGGATGCCAACGGACATATCAAAGAAATTCAGTGGAAGTTGAAGGCGTTTCATACACCTGTCGTTAAGCCACCAGCTGGAGATGGGGTATCACCTGCGGTTCCACTCAATGTTCGACTGGTGCAAGAGGAAGACTTTAAATGGTAGGATTGTATTTGTGTTCGCGATGTGATGCTCTGTGGTTTGGTACAAGTATGCTCTGATGCTCTGTATATCATTTGTTTTCAAACATTGTACGTGCTTACTAGTTGGTTTGACTCTACCGCTACTACGGTATACTATTGAATTGATGCCAATGTCTACACGGAGGGAATCAACTCGAAAGCCATAGTTATCAACCCTTTTCATCGTACACTCGCATACCAACCTGCAGTGCGAGGTCGCGGTCAATTCTCTAACTTAACTAAGGCTTTACTTAATTATTAGTGATGTGTGATGTTTCGCACATATATGGCCTCCTATTAGGCGACAACCCATTCGGGCTTCGACACGTTGTCCGTCGTTTTCCGGTTTACCCAAAACATTTCCCCACTTGTTTCCTACCTCTTAATTTTTTGGATTTTGGTTTACGCGTTGAGTTTAGTTCAACGCAGGTATTTCTCGTCACAGGTTCTGCGCTTTGGACACCCGTAAACCTCGAAACATGCAACTCACCGCAGCCGAACTCCAGGTCAGTCAATTTCTTCATGTGCACAGACGTATTGACCCTGATGAATGTTATTTGTAATTTTAGAAGAGACACGAACTCGAAGGAGCTCCTGACCCATTCCCCTCTCTTGGGGAGGCGACAACCGTTAAGCCCAAACGTGTCGTCCAGGTCCCCACTGATGCGGACTCGCAAGCGGATTTCCCCACTCTCGCCACTTCCACGCCCGTTGCTGCTGCTGCACCTGGAAAGTCTGCCTGGGGCTCTGATGCTGGCCCTCGCATCAAGGCTACTGTCAAATCCACACCAGTCATCACAGATTATTTCGTGGTCACTCAAGCCGAGCTTCCCGCCAAGGATGGTAAACAAAGTTCGGTTGGTGAGATCATGAAGCAGGTCATGACAAAGTACCGGGTCAGAATAGAGGCATCGACAAATCAGAGTCGGCAGACTACTTTCTGCATGAAGGGTGAGGCTCAAAAGGACATTGACAGGGCTAAGCGTCACTTGCTAGCCGCTTTGAGCCCCGTGGTACATGACAAAATTTTTGACCTATCTCTTCCTGCATCCTAATCGCTTCACTAGGTTGTTTTGACTTTGAATGCACCCGCGTCTACTATTGCAGCTATAATCGGACCCAAGGGTAAGACTTCGCATTCAGCAGCATTCCATGCATTTACCATTTCATACTTATAGGCGCGACTCTCAAGAAAGTTCGCGAGGCTACAGGTGTCAAGGTCGATATTCCTCCCAAGGACGGTACCCCCAACGAACATGCAAACGGAACAAACGGAACTACTACCCCCCTCCCAGGCGACGAGGAAGGGGAAGTTATGGTACCTGTCACTATCACCGGCCCGCGCCCGCTTGCCTTGGAAGCTCAGGGAATGCTCAATGAGATCATCGCTTCTCGGACTTCATATCTCACCCAAAAAGTTCGAGACATTCCAGCTCACATTCTTCCTTTCGTCCTTACTTGTCGCAACCACTTTATTGGGGAAGCGCAAGGTTCTGATGTCAATCTCGCTTTGAACCAACCTGAGCGGGAGATTACTGTCAGTGGAGATCGCGAGGGCGTCGTTCGTGTCGTCGAGACCATCAAAGCTACCATCGAAGGATTCAAGACCAGCCTAACTAGCCTCAAGATTTCTTTGCCCAAGCGCCAGCATCGTCTTCTCGCTGGTAAAGCGGTCGACGACATTATGGCGCAGAGCAAATGTTTGGTTGAAGTCGCTTCCCCTGAGGATTCTGGTGACGATGTCACGGTGTGGGGCTCGGCAGTTGATCTTACTGCTGGTTTGGGTGCTGTCATGGCCAAGGCAAATTCGCAATTCATCCACGAGTACCCTTTACCTGGCCCTCTGGCAGTTTCAAAGCAACTCCTAGCATATATGACACGGATCGACTATGAGGCAACCTTGGCTAACGCTCACCCTGATGCTTTGATCTTTACACCGTCTCCTGCTACCATTGCCCAAGCATCAGTTCTCAATATTGACATTGCTGGCGAGAAATCCGTGGTGGACGCAGTGATTAAGCAGATCTCTGAGTTCATTGGGAAACTCATTGGTGCAACAAGGGAAGTTCCTATCGATTGGCTCATCCACCGCGTTATCCAGGGTAAAAATGCTAAGAAGTGCGTATGATCTGCGATATAGTTGAGATACGAAGCTGATCTAAGATGACTAGATTGAAGCAGTTCTACGAGGCGCAGAATGTTCAAGTCTTCTTCCCTCCGGAGTCTGCCGAGCAATCCCAGGTCCTATTGGTTTATGATCCCCTTTCTCCCTCGGCGTCGCCCTCGCCCGTGGAGAAAGTCAAGCATTTGGATGATGTTGTGGAAGAGCTCCTCAAGATGGCCAAGGAATTTGCGGATGTGAAAAGCCAGAGAATCTCGGTCGAGAAGCGCTGGCACGAAGCCGTCGTCGGTCAAGGAGGCACCACTTTGAATGCGTGAGTTCGCTTTACACAGGACGAGTGTATTAACGAATATGTTCCAGTATCATTGGTGAGGACACGACGCTCTCTATCAAGGTTGGCGCAGAAGTTGGAGACGCATCCGATGAGGATGTCATCCTTGTCCGAGGCACCAGCATCGACGTCGATCGTGCCGTCAAAGAGATCTCCAAGGTTGTCGAGGACGCCAAGAATGATGCCATTGTCAGCAGCTATGTGGGTCTTGGATGATGTAGTTATTGCTCTGGCTGATCCACAACGCAATATAGTCCATTGAATTCGACATTGATCGGGAGTATGTTGGTCGCGTTGTCGGCGCACAGGGTTCAGGCGTCAACAAACTTCGTGATACTCTTGGTGTTAAGGTTGATTTCTCAGACGAAGCTGATGAGAAGGAAAAAGAGGCAAGCAAGAAGAAGAAGGCCGCTCATCAGAGATCCAAGGTCAAGGTACTCGCTCAACTTGCTTGTCTTTCCTCTTCCTATTTCTCACTGTATTTGCAAACAGATTACAGGTCGCAAGGAGAATGTAGAGGAAGCCAAAAAACGCATCTTGTCGCAAGTTGAGAGGATCGTAAGTCATGACATAATTCGACGTTTTTGTTTCTGACACTCCCTCAGGCCGACGAGACTTCTGAAACTTTGAAAATACCCAACCAATACCACGCCCAGCTCATTGGTCAGAGTGGCAGGTACGCCATTCGGCTGGAAGAGAATTACGGTGTCAAGATCACATTCCCTCGTTCATCCGGTGAGAACGGGGAGGGCAAGACCAGGGAGCAACTCAAACCAGATGAGGTCCTCATCAAGGGCGGCAGGAAGGGCGTTGCTAGTGCGAAGTCTGAGTTGCTTGACGCTCTGGAGTTTGAAAAGGAAAACAACAAGGTTCTCACGTTCGACGTTCCCACTCGTTCAGTCTCTCGTATCCTTGGCAAAGGTGGTGCCAGCATCCTCGAGATTAAGGATGTCACCGGAGCTCAGATTGATGTCGATAAAACCAATGATGGCATCGGTTCCTTCACGCAAATTACGGTTCGTGGTACAAAGGACGCAATCAATGCCGCGAAGACCGCCATCCTGGCTATAGCTGATCAAGTCGGCGAGGAAACCACGGCATCACTGGTCATCGAGCGCAAGTTCCACCGTAACATCATAGGTGCTGGTGGGCAGGGTTTAAAAGATCTCATCAACAGGTGTGGTGGTCCGTCTGACACTAAACTCCAAGCTGGCCTTGTCCGTTTGTATGTTTGTTCCATCTGTATCTTGACGTTTTGCTAACATTTCCCTCAGCCCTCGCCAAGATGAGGCCTCTGATGAGGTCCGCCTCCGCGGGGAGCCAAAGTTGGTTGATAAGGTCAAAGAGGAACTGGAGAAAATCGTGGCCACGTTGCGTGACCGTGTTGTTTTGGCTGTGGAGATCCCTGCGTCGCAGCACCGCAACTTGATCGGCAGAGGTGGTCAACATTTAAATGATCTTCAGAACCGAACTGGAGTTCAAGTACAGTTCCCTGGGTCACGTTCGTACAATCAATTTGGCGACCCCGAAAATGCAAGTGAGATGGCAGATGCTGATCCGGCCAACATCGTCAAGGTTTCTGGTGCTCGCAAAGCCTGCGAGGCGGCGGTTGAAGAGCTGAAGGTATGCAACACTTCTTTTATAATTTTCTGGTTCTCATGTTCCTCGCAGACCCACGTGAAGCCTGCTGCTCCCGAGGGCGTGACGGCAATCGTTTCGGTACCACTGAAATACCACCACGCCATTTCACAGCAGGGTCACTTCTTCCGTACTTTGCGCAACTTCGGGGTTTCCGTTGAGCAATCTGACAAGCCTCAGAAGCCGGCAGTCCCTGCTGCTCCCCCTCAAAATGGCTCTACGACTGCCCGTATTGATGATGCTGATGATGCGCCATCCATCGAAATTCAGTGGCAGGTCGCTGAAAACTACTTGGACGCTGAGGAAGGTGACTCAGAGTGGACTTTGAAGGGGAGCGACGTTGCTGGTCTGGAGCGGGCCCAGAGCCTTATCCAGGAAGCTATTGCACAGGCTGCAGCCATGACTAGTGTGGGCTTTTTGACCCTCCCTGATCGCTCTGTATTCCCGAGAATCGTAGGCTCAAAGGGGTCCAACGTCGCTCGCCTTCGAAATGAGACTGGAGCTGACATTACAGTCGGCAGAGACAACAGCACTATTATCATCATTGGTAAGTCGGTTTTATCCATGCGAGACCACTGGTTTGATGTCGTACTTCAGGGTCTGAGTCTGCTGTTGATGCTGCCAAAGAAGCGATCTTGAAGCAAATATCTTCGTCTGGCCGTCCTCCACGCCACTGAAATGTTAATCATGTCCATTGATGTCGGGTTTTAGGTATACATCATGCTGTTGCGTTAAAACCATTGACACACCACACACTACACACTATCTTGTTATGATATTCTCTGCAATACAATGGGGCGGATATTGGAATATTATGCAAATATCTCAAAGAGGGACACCGTCAACATCATCTGCATCCATAGGCGATCCATCAATGTCTTCCATCGGCTCGTCGTCGACATCAGGGTCGCTGTGATCAAAAGGAACGCCGTCAACGTCGTCATCAAGGGGCGTGCCATCTACATCCAACGGCTCTCCATCCGCATCCATGTCTTCGATCGGTGCGCCATCGAGATCATTAGCGTCGTCTGCGACACCAGGGGCCGGCTTGGTTACTTCCTGCGCAGGCTGGAAAGACTTCGCCTTGAACTTGGAAACATATGAAGATTGTGCCTTGGCTGCAGCAACGCTA